AGGAATCTTCTTTCAGCAGTTTATTCAGGCCCTTGATATTTCTTCTTCTCTCCCTCGGATGCCCCTCCCAGCCTTAATAAAGCATCTCAAGCCCCAATGCGAAGCTGCCACGTGGAGCTTTCTCATAGGGTGGTGAAAAACCACGCGCCAACTCTCCCAAATAAGGAGTTGTTTGTCACAGACCACAGCGGAGCCAGCGCCATCTTGTAATGGCGACCATAGTCTGCAGAAACGGCAGAAGCGGCTCACCACAGTTCCCCCTTTCTGTTTTCTTAAAACAATACAGGCGAGAGTAGAGGTCCTATCCCACTGTGCAGAAGTGGCTGCATAGTATGGCTCAGTCCTAAGGAGGGCCCTTCCCCAGATCTGAGGCCATATCAGCCGACGCCTTTTTTCGTGGGGCGGGGCGTGGACGCGTCTAACCCGCATGCAATAGGACATGCTCTCCTTGAGGTCCACGTCAAGGATCACTCAAGTGCAGTGCCTTGCCTCGCATCCTGTATCGTGACGATGGTGGACGAAGGGGGATAGCTGAGGCTGAACTGTGGCTGTTTATAACGACAAACAAGTTGACAGCACCCTGAAAGAAAGGCACGGACTTTAAGGCGATAGAAAAGCACTAGTGTGGAAACCCATCTGCGTGCAATGGCAGTAAGACCGGCAGAGTGCAAGGGCTTTCCAACACTAAGAGAATAACAAGGAAAGTCATGTCGATCCCAGTGCAATGTTATAATAACTTGGGGTGTAACGACCATGTCAAAGGTTTACTGTTTAAGATGCGCAAGCCAGACTTGAGGTGAGTTGCCATTTTCTAAAGCTGCAAGAGCTTGTATGATCATAGCCTTATCGTGAGCACTGCGGGCCTTAAGGCGACAGAGAAACCACAAACAGAGGAACATACCGAAGCAACACATTGCACCAAAAATGCCTACCCCCACCCACTCTTTGAAGAAGGAAAAAGCAGAAGATATCCAATCGGTGAATTGACCCAAAGTCACGGGATCGACATGGGTACTGTTCAAGACAGCTATCTGGGTTAGTTGAGACTGGATCATGTCTTCCGCTGCCATGGACCAATTTCCGGCCAAATATTCGCCAATGATGCGGGAGGCATTCCTGGAATCATTAAATCTGACAGAGGTTATGCATAAATGTGCACGTTGGTCAACACAACCCAAAAGCACCAAGTCAGCCAATTCTTCTACCTGAGTTTGGAGTAAATCTATTCTTTGGTTGGCAGCTAATATCCCTGACAAAATATGTTGATTAATTGTATTTTGGGATTCAAGTATGGTGGAAGTTTGTTGAACAACTTGATTAATGGTGGCAGCAGTTTGTACTTGACTGGCCATGGCCACTCCGGCCGTAACCGCTGCAGCAGCAGACACTGCCACAGCTGTCACTATAGCTGCCGTAATTCCAAAATCCCTGCGGACTCTAAGTAGCTCAACAATGGGGAATTTATCTGGGTCCGCAGTGACTGGGATTGGGACAAAAGTTGGAATTTTCATAACCACTGCTACAGTCCAAGAACCATTCCAACACTCAGATAAGAGACAGGTAACATTAGAACAATCCAGCATCCCCGACGAGGTGTCATTAGCCAAAAGGAGCAAGAACGGGGATTGGACACAGACCATTGCAGGGGGCAATGTGGCATTATATAGCAGAGAGTTGAACGAAACAGATGTAAGTCTATTACCTCGTTCACTCTCCCTAACAGTGCCAGAAACATTAGCCAGCCAGCTTTTGGCTCCCAGCAATTGAGCCAATGCAGAAATATCGGCTGAAGCCCCCTTCTCATTGGAAATCAGCCATTGAAACCAGGACCAACCTACTCCTGTAGAGGAGTTGGCACTGTTGTTAAAGTTATAAACATGCCTCTTAAGAGAGGGGGAAAGGGAGAAACCTTTAGCAACTTGATGTTTCTCCCAAGAATGATCCTGACAAGGCGTAAATGTTGGGGGGAAACCAAGACTAGGGGTACAGTAAGGGGAGGCCTTGTAGAATCTTGGTCAAATTACCAGACACCTCTCCTCTATTTGGAAGCGACTTCCATGCCCGAATGCAAATGTTGTTAATTTGATCATATGCCTCAAGAGGAAATCCTGTCTGTTGATTTGCAAATCTACCCTGTCCCAAAAGCGTATCCTTGTCCCAATGGGGGTGTCCCGCCGCATGGTTTTGGGCGGCCTGCTCTATTGCGCCCTCTAGCACAAATGCTCTCCAGTCCAAATATTTACCCGGGGAAACACAAGCCCGAACAAGGCTAGCCCAATCAGAGGGAGTCATGCAGTATCTAGACAGACTCTCCACCTGAGTTAGTGTGAAGGCGGCATCCACCCCATAAGTGCGCACAGACTCCGCCAGGGTCTTCACAATTTTAAAATCTAAGGGTTCATGGAATCTTCCCCTATTGTCATCCTGAAAAACTGGATAAGCAAGACCCATCTCAGCGTTAACAGCCCTCCATGTTTGGGCATGGAAAGCTCTCCCCGAAACACCCCTACCATACGGCGGTGGATCCGGGGGATCGCTTTTCTTGAGCCCCTGTTTATTTCTGTTCCCTTCCCCTATAGCTAAACTCTCTAGCTGACGAGACAGCCTCCCGAGCTCTTCCTCCTCATCCTCCTCTTCCTCTGACCCACTTTCACATGGGGGTGTGCACAGTGTACTGAGATCTGGATACAATCGTCTCCTCCCCTGTTTCACGCTCCGCACACTCCCATCCTCCTGAGGCACCTCACTTCCTGTCGTCTCCAATTTCTCCTCATGTAATTGCTCTAGAACTTCCTGTCCTTTAGTAAGTGCTTCCTGACATCTGCCATCTGTAAGGCAACTACGGACCATTTTCCAAAGGGGTATCACCCCACCCTCTAATATGCCCTGCTCAGAAGCAAAGTCAAGATCTTTGCCTAATTTATCCCAACTAGGTACAGTAAGGCTGCCCGAAAATGCAAACCACGGTGCAGCGATATCTATCTTCTGTAAAAATCTCTGTAAAGTACTATGTTTCACTTCCAGGCCCTTGGAACGTAACAGGCCATCTAGGGCCAGGAGAAGCGGACTTGAAGATGCGGCACCCATGACACAACAACAAAAGAAGCACAAAAAACAAAAGCGAAATGACACAACAAAAGAAGCACAAAACAACGAATGACAACAAAGAAACACGAACAAAGTGAAAGTACACAGTGCAGCTGCAATAAAATGTAATGCTCTCTCTTTCTTTACAGAGGAGCTGCCCCGCTTTGGTCGCGGATTCCACTTACCTGGGACTAACCCCGCTTTGATCGCGGATCCCACTTATTGGGACTAACCCCGCTTTGGTCGCGGATCCCACTTACCTGGGACTAACCGGTGCACCACCCCTGACTGCTGAAAGTTCTGGTTCCCGGGTTTCGGCACCACTTGTCGCGACCCCTTGCCCGCAAGGAAGACGCAACTCAGGAATCTTCTTTCAGCAGTTTATTCAGGCCCTTGATATTTCTTCTTCTCTCCCTCGGATGCCCCTCCCAGCCTTAATAAAGCATCTCAAGCCCCAATGCGAAGCTGCCACGTGGAGCTTTCTCATAGGGTGGTGAAAAACCACGCGCCAACTCTCCCAAATAAGGAGTTGTTTGTCACAGACCACAGAGGAGCCAGCGCCATCTTGTAATGGCGACCATAGTCTGCAGAAACGGCAGAAGCGGCTCACCACACCTGAAGATCAGTTTTTGGTCTGGATCCTATAGCTCCTTCATCTTCCTATCATTTTTATTCTCCTACAGAGCTACAGGAAATACCTGCTTAAGTCTTCCACATACCCACTAATGGGTTCACACTGAAGTGGGAACCATGGTTCTATTCATCTTGTTTTGGGGGACAGGTCCAGATACCCCCATCTTCAGAATCTCTGTGGACAACATACAAGTTTCTATGCTCTCCAAACTCCTAGATGAATATTTCCAGCTATTATAGGAACTTCCTTATCTTGCACTAATCTAGCAGTGGCACTACAGTAGGGTCTAGATGTTTCTGAAGCAGAGTAATCATTCAGCTAAAGGAGCAGATGCTTTATTTCATCCTTACAGGTGCTCCCAACCAAGTAATTATTTTATTACTCATTTCCTTTTTTTTTTTTAAAGTTATAGTTGGACACAATACCTTTTTATTTTATTTATTTATTTTTATATGGTGCTGAGGATTGAACCCAGGGCCTCGCACGTGCTAGGTGAGCACTCTACCACTGAGCCACAACCCCAGCCCTTCCTTTACTCTGTTTGGGTAACAGAATGCTGGTCTCTTAGAAGGTCATAAGTAGGAGGTGGGATATTGTTCAATTGTTGTTGATTCTCATTAGAATTTAGACAAATAATACTTCTTGCCAGGTGTAGTGGTGTACACCTTTAATTGCAGTGACTTGGGAGGCTGGGGCAAAAGGATCACAAGTTTCAGGTCAGCTCTGGTAATTCAGCCAGACCCTCAGCAACTTAATGAGACCCTGTCTCAAAGTAAAAAGTAAAAAAAAAGGACTGGGGACATGGCTTAGTGGTAAAGTGGCCCTGGGTTCAATCCCAAGTACCGAAAAAAACTTAAAAACCTCTTTTTTCTCATCTTTTCGGGCTGGCTGTTTAAAAAAAAAAAAAAAAAAAAGGACACCTGGGAAGAAACTGTGGACCAATAGCCTTTGAAATACCATTTATGATAAAGAATTTAGAACCAGAATAAGGTTACCCCTAAAATAATATATAAGTAATCCAGATACTATAATCTAGATTATAATTTAGAAAACCAGATTTATCAATTTTACAGAAACAGAAAGTAGAATGGTAGTTACCAGGGTTGGGGGTGGGAGGGTAAGGAATTTTTGTTTGATGGGTATAGAGTATATTTTGCAAGATGAAAAAAATTCTGGAGGTCCAATGCACAACAATGTGAATAGATTCAACACTACTGAAATACACACTTAAAAATGGTTAAGATAGTAAAACAGAATAAAGAAAATGTGATATCTGATATTGAGTTGACAAGAAAAATTTATTTTGTAGGAAAGAAACATCTAGATATTGCCACAGATGGCCCTGGTATGTCCACAGTACCATATATAAAAGGACAATTGCTCACAATGACAACACTGAAGCACTGAACGATACCAAAGTACTTTCTGAAATCCAAGAAGTCAAATTACACTTAGAATGGGTTCTGATGTCCTCACATAGATCAAAGTTTTAATACTCTGACATTGGGAAAACCAGATAACCAATCATTATTATAGCTTTTGGTGATATATAACTTGGTGATAAGCAAGTCTTTTGGTGATAAACTTACAATACTCATCTGCCATATCTCCACACAAATAGTTAAAAATCCAATTTATTGGTCAAGTGACATATTGCTTGAATTCATTAAATATATCTGGACTTCATTTATACAAACCAATGTACAATAAGTTACCATATGAAAAGTGCTCCTGTTTTTATAGGATCGTTACTACTTCGGAAAAGATGTGTATGAATGAACTCTATACTACTTTTGCCTTTTAAAACTTGCATCTAACATTTCTGTTCAATATTACAACCAATTTTGTGATTTTTGTAAGAAATCAACAAGTCTTCAATTCTCAAATTCTTCTCTTTTCTTCCTCATCATAGCTTAAATTCAGTACAGATCAATAGGTATCTTAGGCTTTGTGTACATTCTTACTCCTTAACACCAACAGTTCTTCAGAGGCCTGAAATCCAGTATAGGAATTACTGGTTACATTAAGTTCTACAAAAAGCATTAAAAACATTTTCCCTGAAATATACAGAACATGTCATGCCAAGTCTCTTTTTTATACACTAAACTGGAAGTATTGGTGATTTGCACACATAGTTTACATTTCCAAAACAGAATAATTTAAACATTAAACCGTACCTTCTATTTTATTTTTTTGGTACCAGGGAATGAACCCAGGGGGGTTAGCCATTGAGCCATATCCCCAGCCCCCCCCCTTTTTTTTTTGAGACAGGGTCTCGCTAAGTTGCTCAGGACTTTGCTAAGTTGCTGAGGCTGGCTTTGAACTTGCGATATTCCTGCTTCAGCCTCCTGAGTTGCTAGGATTACAGGCGTGCGCCACCACGTCCAGCTAAACCATACCTTTATGTTATTAACATAACTGACCTTATAAGCATAACAAATGGCAATATTCAATACAAAAATCACAAAATCTACTAGCTTTAAATGCTGCATTTTGTAGCACAAACTCATCTTCCTATGACCTACTTAAACTATTGACAGCAATATTTTTTAAGCTACTCTAGCATTCATATCCTAATTAGAAATTTATACGAAACACAATTTTATGCTCAAATATGGAAATAAGTAACATAATTCCAAAACCCAAAAGTATCCCAGCATTCTGTAAAAAGAAATAGCCCCAACGGCTACATCCATGGTCACTAGCATCATTGTGCAGCATCTCAGGTACCTTAAAGAGAGGGGGGGGAAATAAGAGTCAACATTTAAATTTTTAGAACTACAGATTAATTTTCCAAAAATTTTTTAGGATAGCATACCAACTTTTATTTGTAGTTGAATATACTATGGGCAATTCATGAAAATATACATGCTAACTCTAGGTAATGTTAATAACACTTCCTAGTAGTTTAATTAACAATGATTATTGTGTTTTGAGTAAGTGAAAATTTTTATTAGTCCAGTTTGCTCCACTGTGAAATAGAAAACTATATTGATTGTCCTGCTTCAATTGATTGCCTACATATCTGAACTAAACACAATGCGTGGCTCACCTGAGTTCAGAGACAGGAAACCTTACACTACATAAAGTTTCAGCAATAAGATTGGCTGAGATTGTTTATGTGAACTTTGGTGACAAAAGAATATATAACTCCTTTGACAATAAGGACACTTTCAGCATTCTGAAATACACACAGCATGCCAACAAGGTGGCTTGTTCTAGGTTTCCTACAAATCTATAGACAATTCAGTGCCTAATATCAAGATTCTACTGTAAAAAGATATATCAGAAGGGGCGAGTATTTATATGTATTTGGATATACATTAGGTAGCATAAAAATGTGCCTGTAATTAATCAACAATCACTCAAAGGAATCTGTATTTTTATATCCCACTTTTAAAAATTTAGAATCATTTATTACTGCTGCATTTAACATAAAACCTTTTTGTGAATGAACTTTTACTGAATATTTCTTTTATTTAAATAGTCAATGTCTGACTTCTTAAAAACTTACCATATCAACCAGAGCAACATACATGAATAAGCCAGCAGTAAGTGCAAATATCCACATGGAAACATTTTCAGCATAATGACCAATGAAAATTCCTGTTGCCATCCCAAGATAGGCCAGCATGGCTGACAAAGCGTTGTAAAGCACAGCCTGCTTAACGGTCATGCCAGCCTTCAATAAAACAGCAAAGTCACCTTTAATAGAAAATAGGATGAAGTAAGTGCAAAGTCATTTTTAAGATACCTTCTCTGATTTAAGGAAATTCTCCAATTTTTTTAAGGGAGGCAGGGAGAAAGAAAGAAATACCCAGCGTTAGAGCAGAGTTAATCACTAGAAATCATCCTAACAGTTCTATAAACTAAAAAAATCTTTTACCAAAGTTTTCTTTTCTTTTTTTTTTTAATATTTATTTTTTAGTTATAGGTGGGCACAATATCTTTATTTTTTAATTTTATTTTTATGTGGTGCTGAGAATCGAACCCAGTGCCTTACTCATGCTAGGCGAGTGCTCTACCACTGAGCCACGGCCCCAGCCCCCAAAGTTTTCTTGAGGCTTGCACTTTTGTCAGTGAATAAATACCATGAGTCTACTGACTATTGTGATTTTAATAAATACCATGAGTCTATTGACTATTGTGCTTTTGCTCTGCTTCAGGGAGCTTAGAACTGGCAACAAAGGGGGAGGAGAGGGTGGAAAGTACACATGAAATCATCAGCAAAAGATAAAAGCACAATATAATTATGAGCTAATGGGTGTAATGTTACAATTTAAAAGGCGAAAAAGAGATGGAAATAGTTCAAAGAGGCCTCATGAGGCATGACGGATCTAGAACATGGAACACAAGTGAGATATTGAGGCTTATGAGTCGAATAGTTGAACACATGCCAAGAAACAAAATAGAAAATGTTATCAGGGGTATGCGAATGAATGTGACCACAAGAAGAAAAACTAGAACACAAACTGGGATCCAAAAAACTATGAAGGTTTCAATTACCAATGACAAAGAATATTATTTAAAATACAACTCATTAGCCAAGCATAGTGGTGCAGGCCTATAATTCTAGCAACTTGGGAGGCTGAATTAGGAGGATCACAAGTTTAAGTCCAGTCTCAGAAACTTAGATCCTGTCTCAACACAAAACGAAACTAAAGCCCCCCACCAAATCTCATCAATTCCCTCTTTTTTCAGCTATAGTAAGATGCTCTTTCCTAACTTCCCTCTGTTAATGGAAGATGATTCCTTTGTATGCTATAGTTTCATTCACAGTGTGTGTATGAAGACAGTTCACTGATGTCACCAGTACATGACACAGAAAAATAATTGGTAGAGGAAGAGGGTAACCAGGTACCTCTTTGGCATACCCACACAGGCAACTGTGTACCTGTAGGATTCAGCCTGAAAACAAACTTGGCCAAGGAAGAAAGGAAAGCTGACTGGGTTAGTAGACTTATGGGAAAGGATGGAAGTTAAGAAGAAGCCTGCTGGAAAGCTCATCGGCAAAATCCAGCAACACATTTTACTCCTACGGCAAATACACTTTACATGGTCCTCTTCTTACCTAACTCATGAGGCAACTCATGACAAAACACAGCAACAGAAGTACTTAAACCACTTGACAAGCCTTCAGTGAAAGCAGCACCTGTATAAAAATCAACCAGAAGAAAATTTGCCACATGGGTTTGTGTGTCTTTTAATACTGGCACCTAAAGTGGGGTAAAAGAAATAAATTATATTTTGGCTGTACAACCTTCCTATCCTATTATCTTCTTAATAAGAAATCTAAGATTACATTTCAGTGGGTCTAAAATACACAGAGGAGCACAAACAAGTATGACAGAGAAGGGAAGGTTCAACTATGCCTTAGAAAGAGAAGATCTTCTAAACCTGAGAAGTAACTGCTACTACATAAAACAATCAGGAATATAAAATAAACTGATCTAAAAGGTTTGGAAGAAAAACGCTTGCTATCAAGGGTGTAAATGTTTCACTGACCTCACTCAGGAATTCACTATATAATTAGACTTTTTTATATTCATTCTTTCATTATCTCACAAGGAGACTCAAAGTGCTACCCCCCCTTAACAAAGCCAACATATTATACAACTGATCAGTTATCAACCACGACTGTACATTTGGACATTAGTCCTTTGTCTGCTTACATCACATACAACAGTTTGTGGAAGGAAGCACAACAGACTCCAGAGTATCCAGAGCCCAGGTTCATCTTGGTCTGGCTATAAAACAACACTGTCTCCTTGGACAAGTGTCACCTATCCAGACTTCAGTGGTCTAATTTGTAATTACTTTTATGATTCCTTCTAGATTACTAACATTTATAAACATTTTATTATCTACTAATTGTGGTGTAACAGCTTAATATAAAAAATCTGCAATTCTTCTTTGGATATATTGGTAACTGGACTTATCAGATACATGAAGATTCCTTTAGCATAAAAGAAAAGATGGAAAAGATTTTACCTTAATAAGCATAGACTTTATTACTTATAAAGGAACTTCAATGTATAAGGGAGAAAAAGTCCCACATGCTCCCTACAAGTTCTAGCCTGATGTTAAGACCTTTCTAGTGAAGAACTTTTGATGGTTCCAATTTATGCAACAGGCTAGGCACAGTTTCTAGCACTTAGTTCTGGCTAATATTTACTAAGTACTTCATTGTCAAAGTAGCCAAAGGGGAGAAAATTTTTGATCATCTTGGAAACCATTAATATCCTCATCTAAACTAACCTATTTTTTTTTTTAAATGGCAAGATTTACTTTCTTTAATTTTTTTTCTTAGATCTTTATTTTATTTATTTATACGTGGTGCTGAGAATTGAACCCAGTGCCTTACACATGCCAGGCAAGTGTGCTACCACTGAGCCACAGTCCCAGCCCAAAACTAAACTATTTTTTTGTTCAATTTGTTTAATGTAACATTTTCTGAGTCAATCAACAAGGAACAGATATATAGATGTATACCAATTGCTAGGCCATCGCTGAAGTTGTGCAGGCCATCCCCCATTATCACCATCCAAGCCAACGTGGCAATGCCAGCATCTTTCAGCTCCTCCCGAGAGTAGCGCTGACTGTGACTGTGGGGGTGATGGTTTTGGTGGTGATGGTGATGGAGAATATGATGGTAGTCATGATGATGGTGAATGAGGTCATCTGACTGGCCCAATGTATCATGGAAATGTGAATGGCATTTGTTTTTGCACCCTCTGGGTACATATTCATTGTAGACTTCCTGAGGATGAGCATGAGCTATCATGACCTCTTCTTCTTCCAAGATTGCTGGCTGCTGAGAATCAAAGTGGGAGGGCTCTTGTGAGTCTGCTCGTAAATAGCCTTCAGATCCTAGGAATCAACACAAAGGATATTGGGACAAAGTCAGAAGACTTCATTAATGTACTTGAATTAATGTAATTTCAGACATTACCACTGACAATTAAGGTCAACAAATGATCTTAAAGCATGATAACTCTCTTACACCTACTGGTCTAAGCATACATATTTGTTGATAAAAGAGATTAACAGATCTTAATGAATTTTAGAAACTGAATGATTTTTTTTAAAAAATAAATTCTATTTTTATTAGTAAGAATTTTTTCCATATTGTTATTGGTATATTATAGTTGTACACAGTGGTGGTATTTGTTGTTACATATTCATACCTGCACACAATAACACAATGGTAAGAATTTATTATTATTATTATTATTATTAATCTTTTATTTATTTATTTTTGGTATCAGGAATTGAACTCAGGGGCACTTAACCACTGCAAATTAATGTATTCAAACATTAACCTTCAACAGCTATTTCTTCATTGTCCTTTAATTTCTTCTGCCTCCCTAGAGGTTAAAAGATAAATTTTTCTGATTATTTTGATCTGCAATACCACATATAAATAAAGTTAAAAAAAGATGAATTTTTCTGATTATAAAATAATCACATGATTATTTTTGAAAAATATGTTATTAGATATTTAAAATATATTTTATAAAAATTTTTTTAGAAAAATACTGAAAGTTGAAATAAAAAATATGCATAATCCTGTCATCTGACTTCTTTTTTAAATAATAAAATTCAAGGAAAAACAAAATAATCTGAATTATTTCACCATCATCAAGAAGCATTTATTATGTGGGCAAAGAAAAGCAAATACCAACAATAAAGTTGTTCTTTATTTATTCTAGAATCAGTTTTTCTTTATCCTATAATCAATTTTTTTGAGGGCATCTCTGACCCCTTGGTCCAATTCTTGAGTAGCTACTTCCTCCCATTATTACAAATTTCACTGAACTCCATTCAAAAATTTGAGAGAATAGCTTCAGAAAGAAGAGTGAAAGCGTTTATCTTGATCTTTAGGAGAAAAAAACCCCAGCATGTTGGAAAATTTAGGGTGAACAGAAAACCTTACAGATAGGCAGTAGTAACCACAGAAGTTTTTGATCCTGTAGTCAGTCAGTATCCACTGAGCACCTATGTCATGCTGAGCATTTTGGCCCTGGGGATAGATTGAAGATAACAAAAATACCTGCCTTCAAGAAACTTAAGTATTTGTGGGGAAAGAGCCACTTAGCTAGGAAGTACTTGTACAAACAAGTAATCTGAGGCACTGGTAAGTACAAATTAGTAAAGGGTAACATGAAAGAGAGTGACTGGAAGATCTGTATTTGAGAGATGAGGAAAGCCTTTGAGGAGGAGGCATCTGAGCTTTAAAAGGATAAGAGGAATTTATATGAAAATCTGGGAGAAGGGCATTCAAGCTGAAGGAACAGTGAGTGCAAGGCCCTGAGACAAACCTCCTGTGCTCACTGTAAGAAAAAAAGGACATGAGGCTGGAGCAGAGTGAACAATGAGGGAGATGAAGGGCATGATAGGACTTCAAAGGAGTTTGATTTAAAAATATGAATCTTGAGGCTGGGGTTGTGGCTCGGTGGTAGAGCGCTTGCCTAGCACGTGTGAGGCACTGGGTTTGATCCTCAGCACCACATAAAAATAAATAAATAAAAAAAAAATAAAGGTGTTGCGTCCAACTACAACTAAAAAATAAATAAATAAATGAAATTTAAAAAAAATTAAGGTACTATGTCCATCTACAATTTACATATATATGAATCTTAACAGTGTCCAACAAAAATGCCAAACCAACAGTCATTACAGAAAAACAGTAACTTTACAGTAGAGAAAGATGGGAGACAGAACCTGAGCCAAGTGATCAAAATTAGCACCACCTATAAGTGACAGAGCTTCATATTGGGCAGCACATCATGTTACTACAAAGGGTACAACACCCTTTGTTGTACTTCCTGCCCAAACTCATCATTTAATCGTTAAAAGACATTAGACAAACTCAAAACGAGAAGCAATTAAATGGAACATTTGATTCTGAATTGTATTCTGGACCATTTTTTTCTTTTCTTTTTTTTTTTTTTTTGGTGGGGGTGAAGAAATTAAGATAACTGGAAAAAAACAAACAAACAAACAAAAAAAAGAACAGAATAAGTTGTATAGACTATGGAATGACACTACACCAACAGAAATCTCCTGATTTTTTTAAAAAATATTTTCTTTTAGTTGTAGTTGGACACAATACCTTTATTTCTTATTTATTTTTATGTGGTGCTGAGGATTGAACCCAGGGCCTCGCACATGCTAGGCGTGTGCTCTACCACTGAGCCACAACCCCAACCCAGAAATCTCCTGATTTTGATAAGTGAATTGAACTGTGGTTATAAACAAAATGTCCTTTTTCATAGGAGACATACTCCGAAATATTTAGAGGTAAAGAAGTGTCACGTCTACAACTTATTCTCAAAGTAGTACAGGACAAAAAAAATGTGTGTATGTGTATATAGACAGAAACAGAGAGAATGACAAATAAATTTAACAAATAAATAGGGCCGGGGATGTAGCTCAGTGGTGGAGTGGCTGCCTAGCATGTACTTGATTGGTCCTGGGTTCAATCCCTAGTGCAACAAACAACAAAAACCAAATATGTAATAAATAAGTAAACAAGGAATCTAAAATAGGGAAGGGGATATTAGAATTCTTTCTATTATTTTCAAATTGTTTCTTTTCTTTTTCTTTTTTTAAAGTATATATTTTTTAGTTGTTAATGGACCTTTATTTATATGTGGTGCTGAGAATCGAACCCCGTGCCTCACTCATGCTAGGCAAGTGATCTACCACGGAGCCACAACCCCAGCCCTCAAATTGTTTCTATAAGTCTGAACTGATCTCAAAATAAAAACCTGTAGGGATTGGGGATGTAGCTAGGTGGTAAAGTGTGTACTTAGCATGCATGAAGCCTTGGGTTCTATTCCCAACAAATCATCTCCCCACCAAAAAAATACAGAAAAAGAAATGTAAATATACACAGAAACAACTTACTAATTGAAAAATTTTCAAAATATGAGATACTGAAAAAAAAAAAAAAAGAATATAATCACACCTCTTTCAAATAGTCTGAGTTGCCTACAAATCCCAGTGCAACCCACTCTGCCTTGTTCCTGGCCCTCAGATTCACTCATAGGGACTTACGATCATCTGTATCTACTTTCTCCTCATTTGTTGAAAGTTGAGATTCATACTTGGACAACTGCTTCTTAATCTCCACGTCATCATCATTTTCAGGTTTTTTTTGATTCTAAAATAGTAAGGAAAAGCAATACTTTGAAATACTTGATTTGATATAGGAAAAGACAATACAATTAACACATTTCTACCAGAATGAAAGCCATCTAAGGACAGGGCCTATAATGATTTGCATAGTACTTACTAGTGAATCTTAGGTACGGTAGCTGTCAGAAAATTAAAGAATGCCTCAGTAATATGAGATGTAGGAAAATCACACATTAATCCTCTTGAAACTAATACTAAATGCCTCCTAGATTATCTACTCTAGCTGTGGTCTTACACAAGCAGCACATCATCCCCTGGGAACGTGTCAGAAAGGCACACTCTTAGGCCACAGCCTAGAACTGATGAGTCAGAATTTGGATTCTAATTAGATCCCCAAGTGATTCATCCCCACATTAAAACAGAAACTCTACCTTAGGTTATTAATTTAGAACCAGTTAGAGGCATATCCTTCAGGCACTAGATGATCTGCTACCCAACTAGGCATGGAAACCACATACTTCTCACAGTTTTCATAACTGAAAAACTATACTAAAATACTTTTCCTATCAAAACACCATTAACATGTTTTCTCTTTTTAAACAAGTCTCTGTCACAGCCTTGAAATTATCACTAGGCCTTTTTTTTAACCACCCCAAATACTGTGTTTGAGAGATTGTCCTTGAGTCAAAGCAACATTTATATTATATAAAAGTCACACTGACAATGGTATCTGTGTATTACCTACTTATGCAGAATATTTAAAATGATGAAAATTATCATACAAATAGTGAATTTCTTATTTGTACTACCTCTGAGTATGACTTAAACAATTGCCACCAAAACTGAGGTTATACTTTAGGTTTAACAGCATGTAAGGTATCTATACATTCTTAGGTTACAAGAGTTTTTAAACAAACATAGACCAAACTTTATATTTATCCCTATCATGGTGCCTCAGAGAAAGTACTTAGATATTTGTGAAAATAAATGAAATCAAGATTTTTTTTTTTTTTTTTTTTGGTGCTGGGGATTGAACCCAGGGCCTCATGCATGGGAGGCAAGCACTCTACTAACTAAGCTAAATCCAAGCCTAAATTCAGGATATTTGAAAAGAAATTTTTTTTTGTAGTTGTGGATGGATTTTTATTTATTTTTTTATGCATTGCTAAGGATCAAACCCAGTGTCTCACACATGCTAGGCAAGCACTTTGCCATTGAGCTACAGCCCCAGACCAAATACAAGACATTTTTTAAAGTTTGATTTAAAACTTTAAATCAAAGTTACTTTTTGATTGACAAATAGTAACTGCATATATTTATGGAGTGAATTAAGGGTATCTTAAATAATAATTTTTGTTGGTGCTTTATTTCTCATTGAACAATGACTTTAGAACTTAGAGCTTAACAAATTCTTTTATTCCTTAAGTATTAACAACTTATAAATATTTCTGTACTAAATAATGACAGCTCAACATAAAACAAGATAGTTTCTGTTGTCAAGGGGCTTATCATCCATAGGGAGGGGATGTTACACAGATAATTATATAATTTTTTGCTTGCAATCTTTGTTACATTTTACAAAAGAAAAACATAGGGTGTTATTAGAGGCTATCATAACAAGACTTACATAAGTTTCAGGACAAGCTTTTGAAAAAGTATGATGATTGCACTAAGACTTAGGGATAAGGAGTTTGCCAGGGAAGGGTGGAATAGGCAGTATTCCATGCAAGGCGAAAAATGAGGAGAGGGCTCTGAAGCATCAAGGGGCCAGCATCATCCTGGAACTAAAGGTACAAGGTGGCTGGGGCCTGGTAGGCCAGAGCGAGGGTGGCTAGGGACAAGGTTGAGGCAACAGAAGTAGTTCAGACGATGCAAACTGTGTTAAAAGTGGTAGCCTGGGGCTGGGGTTGTGGCTCAGTGGTAAAGTGCTTGCTTAGAATGCGTGAGGCCCTGGGTTTGATCCTCAACACCACTTAAAAAAAAAAAAAAGTAAATAAAAAAATAAAGATATTAAAAAAAAAAAAAAAGAAAAGAAAAAGAGTGGTGGCCTTTGTCCACAAGGAAATGGGAAGTCACAGAAGGATTTTAAATAGTGGTGTATAATCTCATCTTTTTTTTTGGGGGGTGTGTGTGGGTGGGTACCGGGGATTGAACTCAGAGGCATTCAACCACTGAGCCACATCCCCAGCCCTATTTTGTATTTTATTTAGAGATAGGGTCTCACTGAGTTGCTTAGCACCTCGCTTTTGCTAAGGCTGGCTTTGAACTCATGATCCTCCTGTCTCAGCCTCCCAAGCCCCTGGGATTACAGGTGTGTGCCATGACACCCAGCTCTCATCATCTTTTCATTTAAACAAATCACTGCCAGCTCTGTGAAAACTGGACTGGGAGAGGAGGAAGAGAAAATCATGTGCACAGGTTAGTTAGGAGGTAACAGCTGTCACTAAGGTTAGAGATAATCAGGCCTAGATTAGAATGACTGCAAGGAAGAAGGGGAGAAATGGAAATACCATGAACTTATTTATTTAATAAAAACTGGCTGGGTATGGGGAAGAGAGGGATGTCACAAATGATTCCCTGGTAGCAAGTAAGTTTAAAGATGAACTCTTATGAGGGTCCAACTATATAAATATATATCTAGTATGAGATAGAGATTTCAGACTGACTTAAAATTATGCAATATAGAATGTCCCAGGAGCGTAGCTTGGCTTTCTGAAGGAAAATTCCAATTTTCCTTATTATGGTACTGAAGAACTCTCAACATTCACCATTTAATGAGTTTTTTTTTTCTTTTTGAGGGAACAAGATTGGTATTAAGTATAAACCACTAATATTTGGATGTCCTTGACCAAAAATAAACTCAACATATTCAAACAAGGAATAGAATATATAACGTTTGTAAGACTCCCATGGAAAGACTGTGTCTAGAAATTACACTTACTTGCTGCCCCCTAAGTGCTTATATACTAGGAGATAGTAATTTTTTTTAAAAAATATTTATTATTTTTAGTTTTCGGCGGACACAATCTTTGTTTGTATGTGGTGCTGAGGATCGAACCCGGGCCGCACGCATGCCAGGCGAGCGCCCTACCGCTTAAGCCACATCCCCAGCCCAAGGAGATAGTAATTTTTGAAAAATATTTTTAGCTGTAGATAAGACACAATACTTTTCTTTCTTTATTTTTATGTGGTGCTGAGGACCAAACCCAGTGACTCTTATGTATGAGGCAAAGGCTCTACCACTGAGCTACAACCCCAGCTTGGAGATAGTATATATTCAAGCCAGACTGGTAAAGCAACTGGGAAAGGGGAACGTGGAAGATTACTTCCTAGATTAAAATAAAAAATAAACTGATGGGTATGGTGGTGCATACATGTAATCCCAGTGGTTCAGGAGGCTGAGACAGGAGGATCCCAAGTTCAAGGCCAGCCTCAGCAAGTTAGCAAGGCTGTAACCAACTTGGTGAGACCCTGTCTCAAAATAAAAAACAAAAGTGCGGAGGATGTAGCTCAGTGGTAAAGTGCCCCTTGGTTAAATCCCCAGAAACAAGGTTGGGGGTGAGGGGCAGTGAGGAAGCAATTCACTTTTTTTTTTTTAAGTATTTTTTTTAGTTGTATATTTCAGATGGAAACAATATCTTTATTTTATTTATTTATTTTTATGCGGTGCTAAGGATCAAACCCAGGGCCTCACTCATACAGGGCAAGTGCTCTACCACCGAGCTATCACCTTAGCCTGGAAGCTATTCTTATTAGTACTTCTTCCCTCCAAATTTAAGTCTACTAAAGAGAAGGTTTAAGGCTGGGTACAGTGGAGCACTCCTGTAATCCCAGTGGCTCAGAAGGCCAAGGCAGAAAGATTGTGATTCAAAGCCAGCCTCAGCAACTTAGAGAGGACCTAAAGCAATTTAGCAAGACCCTATCTCTCAATAAAATTTAAAAAAGGGCTGGGGATGTGGCTCAGTGGTTAAGTGTCCCTGGGTTCAATACCTGGTACAAAAAGAAAAAAAAAAGTTCAAAAATTGCAATGTGAGATTTTAGTAACTGTAAAACCCATAAGGGCAAATGTTCATGGGAGGGAGGAGGCTGCTCTCCTGTTCACACATGCACTTGATTCCCACAGTGAGCTCAATGCAAGAATCAACTGTTAGTTTTCAAACCTCTTCATGCCAGTTAAACTTGTTACTATAATTGCACAATTTAATTACATGTTGCTCAAACTATGACATGATGTGAGAATAGTTACTTCTGTGAACATGTAAGTCCAATGCTTTTAAAACACTCAGACAAGTTGCTAAAAACAAAAAAACCCAAAAAACTATTAAATCATGTAAGATAACCACTGTATAAAATATTTAAAATTTCCAAGATCTAGATTCTCCATTTAGAATAGCTTTACAAGTTTGTAACCTCTTCTTCAATTTTACAGAAACTAAAACGGGAAATTGTACATGAAATGTTGCATGGTTATTTTAAAAACATACATGACATATAATACAAAACTTCAACTCAAAGAAAATCCTGATCAACATCAAATGAGTGTAGATATTTTGTTAAATTAATGTGTCTGGGATGTGCACTCTTCACTTTAAGAGTCCCTTCCAATAATCTTTCAACTGACTTGCCTGACCATATCAGATAGAAAGGTAAATGACCTTAGGGGACTCAAAAGGTATTTTTGCCTGAAATAAAAAACTTAACTTGGCTTCATACTATTTCATGGTCTAACTTGCAAAGAGCAAGCCTGTGAAAGTCACATACCCTTTTAAAGAGAACAATCAGCTACTGGGTAAATAACTTAAAATTAAACACAAATACACCAGTAAGTATTTGTAACACTTCTAGTGTTGAAAACCCAGCTTGTGCCTTGTGTTTGGTAATTTATATGAATGCTTATCGTTGCCTTTCTTATTTTCCCATGAATTACAAGGAACAGTGAAGATAGAAAACTCCAGGATTATCAGAACTGGGGCTAGGGTTGTGGCTCAGGGGTAGAGTTCTCGCCTAGCACGTGTGTGGCCCTCAGCACCACATAAAAATAAAAAAACAAAGGCATTGTGTCCAACTACAACTAAAATATAAATTAAATAAAAAATACAGAACTGCTCTACAGGAATGTCCTCAAGAATAAAAAGTACCTTGAGAAGGTATAGAACCCACCTTGAGCAATGATCATATACCCTTCATGAGATACTCTAACAATCTAGTTAGAGTGCTACTCTAAATGAATGTCTGATGCAGTGAGTACTCAGTATGCATTTTCTTACCTTTTTCTTCTTATCTTTAAATTGCTTAATCAATGTAAGTACGTGTTCAACAAGAAACATGAAATACAAGCCTCCTAGAGCCGTCAGACCTTTCCATGTAGAATCAAAATAGGTACTTTCTTCTATGTTTTGAGATGACAGATGACTGAAAAGTGGACCTCTTTTCATTTCCATTGCTGGTTCTTCATGGCTATGACTATGATGGTGACTTGCATGAGACTAAAAGCAAAATGATATGTAATTTGTACATTCATTAGTGTCATAAATGTCAGAAAAATTGGTTGGGTAGTAGGGTCAAATTTGAAATCATTTAGAATTAGGCAGTTAATGGGGTACTTCATAGTTGAAGAGACAGTAAAAATGAAATGCCCAAGTATGTTATGTACCATGCACTTAATAGAGCAGTGGATCTGTTTAGTGTAAAGACAGATACATTCCCCAGAAATCCTCATAATATAGATAGGGAGTATTCTCACTGTTTGACAAGTTGCCATAAACACAATTAACAGGGAAATGCTATATTTAATAAGACATTGTATCTACTGCTTATACTTCCAACTGAGAGGTTCATAATGGGGTCACCAGAATGGCCTTGTAAGAATCTAGTCTGTGTGTAGTGATGGTCCTGGCAGATATCTGAGATTCAGGTTTACTGACCCAGGAGCCAAAGCTGAGTGGAGTAATAACAAGCTATTGCTACTACGAGTGAGGGAACCCGATGTGGAGCACACTAACTGAGGCCACAGGGACACCCCATGCCAGGGCTACATCGTGTAGCATGTATTCCTGAACATCTGTCATCTGGTGGTCAGAGAGCTTGTCATAGCAAAATAGTTTTCTTTCACTATTGAATATAATATGAATTTTGTATGTCCGAGGAATGGAATGATTTCTTTTCTTACTTACCTGAAAAATCTCTAAGGGAAATTTAAAAAGTGAGATCCAAATATTTTTGGCCTGAAACTTATCCCAAATATTTAATGGACAAATAAACTCACTTTACCAAACTTGTTTTACTTAAGAATTCACTCATGTTATAAAGTGTGGAGTTCTAAAAATAAATAAATAAACAAATTCAACTCTGAAGAAAACCTCTAGGTTTCTTGGGAACATAAAGGTCATATATTTTATTTGTGTGGCTATTACATAAACAGATTAATTCTCATCTATCACTACAGTCTGTCACAGAACTAATATCTGAGCAGAATTTTTTTAATTAAGTCGGTTCAAAAAATTAAGTCCATATTTAGCAGATTTCCTTATAAAGAAAAGAAAAAAACAAGTATTAAAGTCTAGACAAAAATGTATATTTCAGTTACCAAATATATTTTAAAACTAAATTTTCTAAATCAAATTTCTAACATTTTATATGTAATGATACAAATAATTCTAATATAAACCAAATATACACAAATATTTTCAATATTGAATAAAAACACATTGGTAGAACAAATTACTGTACTTACATGTGGAAGTAGGTGTAATAAAGCATCGCCACTCAAAGTCCCAACGGCCAATGCCACAAGGAAACTTAGGAGAAATTTGAAAAACACTCGATTCATGAGAGGCACCAAGATAACCCCCAGCAAAGATAGGAAACTGATGATGGAAATGGCTATAAAGCCACCAACCCAGGCTGTTGTAACAGAGCAAAAGAAAAACATAGTCAATAAACCTCTAAATGGAGACCTTTGGAGAATGACATAAAGCAACACTGAAAAACAAAAAAGTTATAAAGATACAAAAATTCAGTGCAAAAAAGACTGTGGCAATAGCACCATAACCAAAAAAAACACTGACTGCTCAAAGGAACAAGCTGGCTGGTAATTAAGAACCCTCCAGGTGAGGGGAATAAGCCTAGTGGAAACGCTTCAAGTGGGGATAGGAGGAGGAAAAAAGCATTACCAAGGATGAATGCTAGCTCAAGCTTTTGGATTCCCATTATCCATAACAGCTAAGTTAAGAAGGCTGGAGTTGGGCAGACAAAGAGAAGAAAACAGGGAACTCAGTTATTTCCCCAGTAAATAAGGCAATTATTTCTTCCCCATTATTGCTTTTGAACAATGTGACCCTACATTACAACATGGCTTATCTTAATTTTATTTACCAAGAACTAGGCTCCTAAGCAGAAGAGATAAACTGATTTCCCCCCTAAATAGTATATCATGATACTTAAAAAGCCCAAATTTGAGATGATCCTGATATCTCCTGTGGGATGATTTCCAACAAATCATCATCTAAGTTTTCTTTCTTTTTTTTTTTTTTTTTAAGGAGAGATTAACATACTTTCTTTCTTCACATATAGGGCAGAGAACAACTAAAATGATACAGGTAGAAATGTGTTAAAGAATGAATAGATGCAAATATAAGAACAACATAAATGTCTCTACTGGAAATTAGTTTTTACATAAAAAATGCAATTCTACCTATTTGTAAAGAATAGGTCTTTGGAGGGATTTCAGCTTTCTTTTCACTTGTTGTATGAATCAGACAAGATCTAGCATCAATTTGATTGATGATGGCTGGGCAGAGATAGTTGAACTCAGTGGCATTCAGTGGAATTTGGATGCCCATGCCATGAGATGTAAGCAGCTTTGAAGCATTGAAACACTGAAAGAAACAAAGCAGTGAGTCACCAAAAGATACTACCTTTAGAGAATCTGAAAATTCATTCTGACAAAACATCACCTTTACCTTATTAAAGCTATTTCTTCATTTGTTTAAGTCAGTGCAAGTTAAAATCAACTTTTGTTTTCAGTACTTTGGAACTTGCCTCTAGGTGTGTGGAGATCCTGTGTCACATGGTGATATGCTACCCTCTTCTGCCTACTTGGGAGAAGCAGTTACATCACTAGTCACCTAGGGAGAAAGCCTCAAGTAGAACAAGCTTGGGGATAAATGGAGATTCACAAGCCTGTTAACTCATTGTATAAACCTATTAAGGAAATGAGCTTTAATTTCGAAATGGGGTTCATTAGAGATTGAGAAATATATTTTAGTACAAACGCTATCCTACTTGGTCCAAACAAGCCCAAGACATGTTGTTCTCCCAGCAATGACCCTACTTGCAAAAACTTGGCTGTTCTGTCTACATACCTGGCAAAATAATGCTCTACAATGAGAATATTAAATTATTCAGATTATGCTTGTGGAGGGCAATGCTGGTTAATAAATGAACTTGTACAGGCACGAAGATGTTTTGAACAATTTAATTGGATGACAAGCTCAGTTTGAAGAGAAACTCCTCTGTGCCATTTAATCTCTCCACCAAAGGAGTGGGGTGAGGTGGAGGGACTCAGAACTGGCTTTAGTACCTGTTTCTCATCTTCTGTAAAGACATTTCAAACTCTCATAATTCTTGGCCAATCCTACTCAAAATGAACTTCATCACCAGCATTGCTATGGCAATAGTGAGATTCTCCCAAACATGGTACAGTTATATGCTGGTTTGAATGAAGTACTTCTTTCTTTCTTTCTTTCTTTTTTGACATCTCTCAGCCAAGGCGAATTATGAAGAGTCTGAAAATCTATTTTAGAAAAATCCTGTGAACTCAAAACCTTCTGATGAGATCTTTCACTTGCTCAGCCCAAGGACATTCTTGGTAACTACTTAATTTCATGCATTTCACAAATCATTGTGATTCTTCTGTCAAGGAGGCACCATAGTTTCTCTCTGATGTTCTTAAACCCCTTTCAACAACACTTTTCCCTAAAACACAGACTGTAACTTGTACTTTTTCAACCCTCCATTTTCTTCTTCTTTTTTTAAATGGTGCTAGGAACTGAACCCAGGGCCTCACACATGGTAGACACTCTATCACTAAACGACATCCCACTCCCTGCTATTTTTCATTAATAATATTCACCTTTATAAAGACTCCACCCCAAAATATCTTTTTTTAGATATCTGTTTTATTTTTACTTTACATTGCTTATAAGTAAGACAGAATAGCATCGACAATCAGACGAGCAATTTTAATAAGGAGTAGCATTTATCTTACCTCTTGAGTATTGTCATTTATGTTTCTGGAGTACACAAAGCCCTTTCTGGGCTCACTCACAGACTCATTGATTTTCCTACTAGCCAACCGGCCCACCCGGGTCTTTTCTGTGATACTGGGTGGGGTGGAACTGCTTACGTCTTTGGGGAGTTTTCCAGATTTCAGAGTCTCTACTGTCTCCAAAAAGTGAGTCCCTTCAGAGACAGTGTTATACACAGTTGAGGTCACTACACTGGCACTGATGCTCTCCTTGACATTTCTTCTACCATCGGTGTGTTCTGGTCGGTGAGATCCTTTTCCCTGGCTGTTTCGAGGATCTTTACTTGAAGCATCAGAGTCATGGTCTGGGCAAAGAGCTTTCCGATTATTTTTACCGGAAGCAGCATGATTCCTGTGAGAGCGACGGTCGTGGTCAGGATGATGCTCGTGGTCGTGGTGTATATGGATTCTTTTAATCTTATCTATGCCTATATTCTGAAGCAATTTTCTGAACCCTTCAACTGATAAGGAATTGTTCTCCCCATAGCGGTAGAAGAGCTGTTGCACATGATGTTGCTGTGTGGTAAATGCCAAGTCAACATTAATGCCAGATTCCCAGTTTGGACTGATTTTCTCAGTGGTCTGAGAGAAAGCAGCTGCTGATTCTAGTTCTTGAAGGAGATTTGTGACGGAAAGGGCTAAGATCAGGACCAAGATAAAAGATAAATTCTTTGCCATTGCACCTTCCTAGAAAAGAGAGAAAAGAAAAACTCTCTACCTCACTCCTGTAACAATTTGAAACTTCATGCTAAAAATGAATGTACAATGTATGGCCATACAACCTTAAACATGTCTGATCTCATTTGAAAATGAATGTCTAATCATATAAGGTTTACACAGAATCATTTAATATGATTAGTGTGGTGCAAGGTACTGTGAAGATATGGAGAACTAGAGTTCTAGGGTCTCCCCTTGCATTGTTAAAACACAAAAAGCAAGTGGAGAACAGCTTAGTGCTAACAGGCAACTAATTTAGCAACTAATTCAGACATTCCTGTAGCCACAGCCATACTGGTAACTACTTATTGTGCTGGGAACAGTAATTCAAAACAAAACCATACTTAACTAACTCCACCAACACCACCATTTCATGAAAGAATCTTTTAACACACACACAAAGTAGAATAATCATCTCAGAATTCACATTTAAGGGCTGGAGTTGTGGCTCAGTGGTAGAATGCTTGCTTAGTACATGTGAGGCACTGAGTTCGAACCCCAATACCACATTAAAAAAAAAAACTAAACTAAATAAACAAAATGAAGTTATTAAGAAAAAAAGAATTCACATTTAAAATTTTTCTTAAACTGATAATAGTCTCCTTATACATAAATTCATTTAAGGTCCCTTTCCCTATCCTACACCTCAAAGGTACTTAATTTTACCATTTTTCGTGTTTTTTCATGATATTTTATAGCCATACTCAAATAAATGTGTACTTTAAACACACAAATGAAATCTTTCTCCCTACCACTCAACAATGAATTAGACATGTCATGTCAGTATACACAGATTACCCTAATTCTTTTAAATGACTGCATAAGAGCTCTTTAAATAAATTAAACTCCATGAAAAACTCACTATCTTATTCTTATATTGCTACAAACCAGTGAAAGTTTTATCATAAACTATTACTCATTCTCATAATAGTGTTTAGAACACAAACACTATTCCCCAAAGAGGATTTAGAACGTGAGTTGGGGCTTAAAAAGCAGAGGAAGGTATCCTCAGCTCAGGAACCAGCAAATGTTCAGGACCAATGGTAAGTGGTGGCCAAACCCATGTCCCGGCAAAAGACACAGAGAGGGAGTTTCACTAAACAAAAGCAAGGGGCAACCAGCTATTATACTTTGGATCAACTCTCATATTCATGACCTCATCTGAAAAGCCTATGATACCTATTTTGCAAGCTGAATGAGGAAAACACAAATGAATGATGCGGCAGTACTTGTTAAACTCATGTCTTGCCCAAGTGCTGATTACCATCCTGGGAGCAGTGGTATAAGTAGGGTAGGACTTCATGGGCAGAAGTTTTGAGAATTCATCTAACAGGCAAAAGATAACCATTAAGAAATCATTCCAACAAAACAGAGAGGGGTAGAGGGAGGCAAACCAGTGAGGGGCCAGGTGAGGGGTGGGTGGGGACAAGAACAGAGGCAGCTCCAGGCAGCTTCTTGCATTCCTCCAAGGAGAATGGGGAGGGCAGCCTCAGACCCATCTCTGATCTTCTCCTGGGCAAGTTGCTTGTGTCGGAGGGAAAAAGAAAGCCAAAGGAAACAGCCTTGAAAAAAAGGGTCAGTGGTGACAACGGAAAGGGGAGCACAATGCTTTCTTTCTAAGGGCTTTTTATTTTTTAAAAAGTCAATTCTTCTTTGAATATGGGAGAGAGGTATGACAGAATAAAAAATATACATATAGAAAAGAGACAAAAAAGGAAGGCTAAGAAAAATAAAATAGTAATTTAAAGTTTTGCATACTTGCCAGGCCAATCACTCTCCCAACTCTGTCACTCCCAAATTCCTGGGAAATCTATAAATCTGAGAGTAACTATAAATTCACACGCTTATGAAAATTACTGTTAAATCAGCCTGTGCAATAAACAGGTTAATCAAAGAGGGGCATGATATTTTAAGGAACCTATAATTTAGGGGCTTTCCAACCGAATTATCTGACCAGAATAACTGATCAGATAATGGAGATCGCGTCGGCCTAAGGATCCTGAAAACGACCACACCATCGGAAGCTGGTCTTGTGATCACCAGCCTGATGTCATCCCTTATATACCTTCCCAAGCTCACCCCTTAGCAAGTTTCCTTTAAAAGAGGAGCAGGGAACCCCAAACCGCGCCCCTCACTCTCCAAAGGGCCCGGCATTCTCCTTTGAAACAAATTTGTGTCCCGGCGTGTGCTAAAATTCTTTTCCATCGCGAATGCCCAGGTCCCCAATTGTCCTGAGTCGAGGTTTCCCCCGCTCTCCGGGAGCTCCTCGAACGCACCTCCCGTGACAGAAGGAAAAGTACAGACCATCTCCTCAGAAAGTCCTCCGCTGGACCCCGATGCCCATCTTCCCACCCAAAGCTGGGAAGACCCGCTCTCCAGGTGCTCCTGGCGGGCTCCCTCCAGCATCCCTTCTCTACAGTCCCGCTGCCTGGCCCCAGGACCCTGTCTCTGTTAATCCCCCGCCTGCAAGGCTCCCTTCCTGCCGCCTCACTCTAGAACTTGACGGACTCACCTCTCGGCGGCCTCGCCGTCCCACCGACCGGCCCCTCGCGCCGGTTCGGTTCTACGCGGGCGGTTCGAAAGGATGGGAACAGACCCGTGCTTATCTCTCCCAGAACCTTTACAGGGCACAAAGAAGCGACAGTCTCATCGGCCCGGCGGCCCCTCGGTTCGCGGGTACCGCCGAGCAGCCACTGGGAAGCCGCGCCCCTGCCTCCCCCGAGCAGGACAATCAGTAATTAACGCCGCGCGCAGCGCGAAGCCAGGGATCACCGCCTCCTGCGGCCAGTGGCACGGCGCACGCGCAGCGCGGGGCTGGAACCCGGTCTCCAAAGGCCGATCCGCTTTCCGCGTGTTCGCCAACGCCGCCGGCCTCGCAGGGGCAGAAGGGGCGGGGACGCGCGGGGTTGGAGGTGTTGGCGCGGTTACCCGAGGACTGGGAGCAGTTGGCGGGTCCTTTTCTTGATCCCGTCTGCGTCCCAGCGCTTCTCTGAGGCCTGAGACTCGCTTGCCAGGGCTACCCGGGCCAGCCTCTTCTGCTGCAGGGAGCCGGGCCGTAAGGGACCGCCCTGGCCCAGGAGCCCCGGTGCTTCTGGAGGGTCCCGAGGTACTCGGGTCGGACTTGGCTGGTGCGCTGAGCCCAGGTCCTGGAGATGAGAGTTAAAGTTCGCGGCCGCGCCAGGGTTGGGGCGTGCGCTGGAGAATCGGCCCGGCCAGGCGGGGCGGGGCCTGCGGGGGCGCTGGTCGCTTTGGCCCCACCCCCGGCCGCCTCCGAAACGTGGACTGGCAGACGCCAGCAGGAGAGGCGGCCGCGCGAGTAGTTCCGCTCCCTGGGCGGAAGTGCGCGCCGCAGTCACGGCCGCTGACCAGCTGTCGTCATGGTGGCACCAGTGCTGGAGGCGTCTCACGTGTTTTGCTGCCCAAACCGGGTGCGGGGAGCCCTAAGCTGGAGCCCCGGGCCGGGAGGACTTCTGGCCTTCGGCACATCCTGCTCTGTGGTTCTCTATGAGCCTCAGGTACGGAGGGTACTGGTCGCCGGATCGTCTATACTTCCAGTAGTGGAAGCCGAATTCTCTGTCGGGTCCGCCCGGGGTGGAGGCCTTGGCGAAGAGTCTCCTCTGGGTTTGCGGGACTCGCCGCTTTTTGTGCACTGTCAGTCTAGGGCCTTCGTGGCCCGTGCCCTGAAAGTGGCCTGTGAGCCCCGCCCTGAAGCCCTCCTTCCCAGGAACTATAGTACTGGTAAAGAATTCCTTTGGGTTTTACAAGAATTGAAATGTGGGTATGGGTTAAAGCCATCAATCCACAGATGCAATTTCAGTTCTGTATTTGCCTCACTATTGGTTACTAGACTTGCTGTATCAAATTTCACAGAAATATATGGATATTTTAGCTACGGAAATGCATATTTTACATAATGTGCCATTTTGGGGGAAAAGTCATAGGGAATGGGGATCCTCACCGCTGATTATAAGGCATTCCCTCAATTTAAAGTCAGTTAATTTGCGGGGAGTGGGGGAGGGGTGGGGGCTGATTACCCTACCAGACTTTTCAAGTGAGTAGTTTTTGCATGCCACCCAGAGTTCATTGTGACCCCATTTCTTCTGGATAATTTAAGATTATACAGTGAGTGTTGCATCTGAACAGGAGCCTCATAAAAGGTGCAATGCTGAACATTAAGATGTAGTGCAGGAAATGGCTGCGTGTATATCTTACCATACTGTCACTGGAAGAGGGTCCAAGGAATTCCCTGAGAGAGGGGTATAACTTGACTCAGTACAAGTGGGGCCCGGTGGGGTAAATGACCTACTCGATGGAAAAGAATTTCAGCATAGGCCAGCCAGAGACACAAATTATTTAAGCAAGAAGATGCACAATCAAGGGGGAGTGTGGGCTGTCATCTGAAGAGAGCAGGCCATCTCAAGAGAGTTTTTGGGTTCTTTAAAAATATATATACATATATATATATTTTAGTTGTAGATGGACACAATACCTATATTTAATTAATTTATTTTTGTGTGATGCTGAGGATAGAACCCAGTGCTTCCTATGTGCTAGGCAAACACTCTACCACTGAGCTACAATTCCAGCCTTGAAAGAAAATTTGATGAGGGTTGGACTTGGGAAGGTATGAGGGATGACATCAGTTTGGTGATCACAAGAATGATTTATGGTGGTGTGGTTGTTCTTAGGATCCTTAGGCTGATATAGTCTCCATTATCTGATCAGTTATTCTGATCAGTAGATAATGTTGGAAAGCCCTCAAGTTATAGTTTCTTAAAACATTGTATCTCTCTTTGTTTAGTCTGTTTATTGCATGGGCCAATTGACAGTGCACAAGGTAATTTTCATGAGTGAGTGAATTTATGGTTGCTCTTAAGATTTACAGTTTTCCTGGAAATTTTTCCCGGTTGGGAGAAGAACTAACATGGAAAATGACAGACTAGGAAAAATACGTGGAACTTTTGATATTTCTTTGTCCTTCCTTTTTGTCTCCTTCTTAGCTATTTTTTTTTCTTTTAGCCTACCTCAGTACTCCTTACTAATTAGATTTAAAATTCTATTATCTTCATACCCTTTGTAGATTCAGATTTCTGGATGAAAGTTTTTTTATTCACTTCTCACTGTCTTGAGTTTGTCCATCTCTTAGGGTTTTTGTTTCTTAGTTGCCACAAATTCTTTTTTTGGGAGGGGCGGGTACTGGGGATTGAACTCAGGGGCACTAGGCCACTGATCCACATCCCGAGCCCTATTTTTGTGTTTTATTTAGAGACAGAGTCTCACTGAGTTGCGTAGTGTTTCGCTTTTGCTGAGGCTGGCTTTGAACTCGATATCCTCCTGTCTCAGTCTCCAGAGCTTCTGGGTTACAGGTGTTCACCGCAGTGCCCAGCCTCTGCTATGCATTCTTAAGTAGCAAGAGAAAGAAGGTAAAACCAAGGATAAACTTTATAGTGACCATCAATCAAAGACTGACTCAGCTGTGGAAGTCCATCTTCATGCAGGAGCTTAATGGATTTTTTTCCATGCATTCTGTGTTTGTCAACTTTTTGTTGCTCTGACCAAAATACCTGACAGAAAAAAACTTAGAGGAGAAAAGATATATTTTGGCTTACAGATTTAGTCCGTGGTAAGCTGGCTCCATTGCTTGGGGCCTGAGGTGAGGCAGAACTGCATAGTGGAAGAGTGTGGTGGAGCAAAGGTGTTCAGCTCAAGGCAGTCAGGAAGCAGAGAGGAAGGGGATAAGGACCCTTAGTGACCTATTTCTTCCAATCATGCCCCACCTGCCTACAGTTTACCTCCCAGTAGTTGATTCAAATTATTAATCCATCAAATGGATTAATCCATTAATGAGATTAGAACCCTCATGATCTAAGCCCCACCCCTGGGTATTGCTGTATTGGGCACTAAGCCTTCAACACATGAATTTTTCCAAATCATATAACACCTTCCATCACATTGTTTTTTAATATACATGCAAAATTTTGTATTTATTTACTTTTCAAATACATCAAGATGTCTGATTAAAACATCCTCCATGATAGAAACTCTCACACACACATGAAATAATGCAATAATTTTATACCCCTGTACAAAGCACAAAATGTTTTCCACCTTTATTGAAATAAACACTCTATAAAAGTGCTAATTAGATCAATTCACTTTTTGCAAATTATCAGTTATGACAGTACACTGAATACATGCAGAAGAAAAATAAGCTGAGATATTGTACTCCTAAAATTCATGTTTTGTAACATTTGCTTTGGTTTGTGATTCAGGCTCTCAGACCTCCTTTTATTTTAAAATTTTAAAATAAATTAATAAATTAATTAATTTTAATTAGGTGTATATGACAGCAGAATGCATTTTGATTCATTGTACACAATTGCAGCACAACTTTTCATTTCTTTGGTTGTACATGATGTAGTGTTGCACCATATGTGCAGTCATACATGTACCTAGGGTAATGATGTCCATCTCATTCCCCATCTTTCCTGCTCCCATACCCCTCCTGACCCCTCCCTCCCCTTTGCCCAATCAAAGTTCCTCCATTTTTCCCAAGCTCTCCTGCTTCCATCACATTTGTTTTTTTTTTTTTTTTAAATATTTATTTTTTAGTTTTCGGCGGACACAACATCTTTGTTTTTATGTGGTCCTGAGGATCGAACCCGGGCCGCACGCATGCCAGGCGAGCGCGCTACCGCCTGAGCCACATCCCCAGCCCTTCCATCACATTTGTAAGGCTAACTTGTTGGCCATGTTAGGGGACTTTAATATATCAAAACAGAAGTATATTGAATTTAAGAAGTACTTGGTTTTATTAAGTATTTGCTTGTTGAGTGTTTCATTAAATATGGGGGTGGAGCATGTGAAATGCTTAAATAAAGTTTTGGGAATGATGCTCAAGTAGCACTTTTGTCATATTTTTTATTGATGCATTATAGTTGTATATATTGATGGGATTTATTGTTACATGTTCACACACACATACAATATAACAATATAACTTGACCAGTATCACTCCCAGCATTTCCCGCTTCCTCTCTACCTCTCACCCCTTGATCCCTTTTCTCTGCAGATCTTTCTTTGATTTTTAGGAAATGCACCCCAACCTTTGATTTCCTTTTTCCTTTCTGGCTTCCACATATGAGAGAAAACATATAACCCTCAATTTTCTGAGTTTGACTTATTTCACGTAACATAATAGTCTCTAATTCCATCCATTTTCTTGAAAATGCCAGAATTTCATTTTTCTTTATGGCTGAATTAAAGCAGCACCTTTTTTAAATTAATTTTTTAATTTATATATGATAGTGGAATGCATTACAATTCTTATTACACATATAGAGCATAATTTTTCATATCTCTGGTTGTATACAAAGTATATTCACACCAATTCATGTCTTTATACATATGCTTTGCATAATAATGTCCATCACATCCCACCATCATTTCTAACCCCATAACCCCTCCCTTCCTGTCCCACCTTTCTGCCGTATCCAGAGTTCATCTATTTCTCCCATGTTCCCCCTCCCTACCCCTCTATGAATCAGCTTCCTTATATTAGAGAAAACATTCGGCATTTGGTTTTTTGGGGATTGGCTAACTTCACTTAGCATTATCTTCTCTAACTCCATCCATTTACCTGCAAATGCCATGATTTTATTCTCTTTTATTGCTGACTAGTATTCCATTGTGTATATATGCCACACTTTTTTTTAATCCATTCATCTATTGAAGGACATTTAGGTTGATTCCACAGTTTCTCGCTATTGTGAATTGTGATGCTATAAACATTGATGTAGCTGTGTCCCTGTAGTATGCTGTTTTCAAGTCCTTTGGGTATTGACTGAGGAGAGGAATAGCTGGGTCAAATGTTGGTTCCATTCCCAATTTTCCATACTGAAACAGCACCTTTTTAGGGACCCTCTGGGCTAGCCTTAGGCTGGGTGGTGATTACATAGATAATGAATAATTACTGCTTCCTTTCTTGAGGATTTTTCATTCCAGTGGGAGAGATGATAAAACACAGTAAATTGTTTCCCAACCTCAAACAACCCATGTTTAAGTAGATTAGTGTGCATTTCCCTCTGTGTTCCTTTTTCCCAGTCATGAGATTCTGGTTGGCATACAAACAGGAATCCTGTTCTAGATTGTTTAACCTGGAAGTCAGTGCTGTTGACAACGGAGAAAGGTGTTAAAAAGAAGAAGGCACCAAAGAATTGAAAAGACAAGAAAAAAAGAGAAAAACTTAAAAAATTCAAGAAGAAGAAGTAGACACCATAGTCAGTTAAAATTTTCACTAGTGGGTGAAGTAAGAACACTCAAGTGTGGGACCATTTGGTAAAAGCAACAGGGTGAGGGTCAGCTGGGAATCTGGCAGGATGCCTTGCACGGATCTGATATATAAGTTCCTTAGTAGTTGTGGCCTCATGACTTTGTGTCATTGGGGTTAAAGAACCTACTTACTACCTGGTCAACCATGGAATGGAGAGTGAGCCCTTAATTTTATACATTCATTATGAATTTCTCTGACAACAGATTCTTTTGTTAAGGAAACCCTGAAATTAGTGTAAGCATGGTAGAGATAGTCCCTGAGCCTGTGGTGCAAAAGAAAGAGATTGGTTGTTTAACCTGGAAAGTCAGGACAGGTTCCCCAGAGGAGAAGGATAGGGGCCCTATGGGAGGGTAAGCAGAACTAGGCAAATGAAAACCTGAGAGTGTAATGAAAGCACAGGACACTGGGAATGTGGAGAGTGTTGAGAAAGGCAAGAGTGATATGGAGTGAATGGATGACTTACTCATAAAGTTTATGAATTGCAGAAGGCAGCTCTGTTGCTCTAGCTCTGATCTTTTTATTAGTATCAAAAACACTGAAATCTCATTTCTACTAATTTTTTAATTCCTCTGTAGGATAATTCTAATTTACTAACTGCTGTTTTCTTCTTTAAAGAAAAGGGTGGTTGTTACCAACCTGAATGGTCACACTGCGCGAGTTAATTGTGTACAATGGATTTGTAAGCAGGATGGCTGTAAGTATTAATCTGATTGTTAAATCTCAGTTTAATGGTTTTCTGATGAGATATAGTTAGTCATTTTTCTTTCATTACTTCTCTTAATGTAGCATTACCTTATCTAATTAGTTCAGTTGGAAAATAGAAGAAAAATGGAATGCCCAGTGTAATATTTGACTTCTATTTTTACTTTATGGTGGTTGGAACATAGATGACACAGCACTGATTAAGATGAGGGGCAAGACACCCCCTCCTCTATTGCCTACATCTTTTAAAAAAATTTTTTGTAGTTGTGGATGGACAATATTCTTTTATTTGTTTATTTTTATGTTTTAAGGATCAAAGCCAGTGCCTCACATGCTAGGCAAGCACTCACCACTGAGCTACAGCCCCAGCTCTGCCCATATCTTTGACTGAAAACCTGTAAGCAGGGCCTAAGCTGAGATTTTCATTCACATCCGGTCCCAAAGTACAGCTTTCCAGCAGCCATACATATATGATATTTCAATAGATTAAATACAGAAGTAATTGTGAAAATCCAGCTTCCCTCTAATAAAGTCAGTCATTAAGAAATTTGTGGAAATGTAAAACATGCCTCTGTTATTATTTTCTTAAAAAACACTGGTATTTTCCAAACCCCATAAAATGTTATTTTTGTCAATACATAATGAGCTTTATTATCATTTTTAAGTAAACTATTAATCAAGTACCTTTCAAATTTCTCAGTCTTGATTTCATATGGCTCATATAATCAAAAGTCTTTTGGAATCCTCAAAAGTTCTAAGAGTGTGAAGGAGTCCTGAGACCAAAATATTTGAAAATTACCAGACTACTGTGGATTATTTTTTTTCATCCCCAAGATTCACTGGCTCCATATTCTTAGTTAACATATTGATTGCTTTTAAGTGGTACTTCCAAAATCCAGTGGAATATCTAAAAGTATCTTGAAATATATGTACTGTAATATTGTTGTAGAATCTGAATTAAGTTTATTTTTCATTCTGATCTAGGCACAAATGTAGAATTTCTTGAATTAATGAGACTTTGCTATGATTTTATCTATGACATTTAAAAATGTTTAATAAGCTACTTATTTCAATTGGTAAAACAGGATTGGTCATGTATCAGGTTAGTAAAAACCACTAAGTAGTACAAGGAATGGCTGTTAATGCCTATGTGAAGACCATTAAAATTATATTAGTTGCAACGATCAGGCATCAAAGACTACTTGATTCTCTGTATAGGAATTTGTTATGAAATGTTAATTTGGGCTTGTGTACTTGATCTCTTTTTAAAAGTGAGGTTACATGAAATGAATTGATTGTGTATCATTGTAATCTATAACTATTATGATTGATTTCCTCTAAGAACGGGGATCTGTCCCCAGATAATTCAGATATCCTTTCCAGCCACTGCATAGGGACATATAAAAATTTAATAACACTACTTCATATTCTTAAAATGTCTGATTTTATTATATTACTTTTGTGTACTTTATTATAATTATTCTCAAAATCATGTAAATATATGGCTACATGACTTTGTGGTGCATGAAGAGATTGGAGTCCAAGATCCGAGTTGACCAGTAGCAGAGTTGGGACATGAGTTTGCGACCTCTGGAGTATAAGTCTAACAGAGTTTGTTTACTTATTTATTTATTTATTGAATATTTTTTAGTTGTGGACAGACACAATATCTTTGTTTTATTTATTTATTTTTATGTGGTGCTGAGGATCGAACCCAGTGTCTCACATGTGCCAGGCAAGTGCTGTACCACTGAGCCCCAGCCCCAGCCCATACTTATTTATTTTTTATAGCTGAAAAGATTTTATAATAATCTTTGGACTATCTTCCTGTTGCCTCCCTAAATATCTAGCACATAGGGCAGAGGAAATAAATAAATGGAAAATGTAAACTAAGCCAAAATTATGCTATTTTCTGGAACTTCTATTTTTTTTCTGTATCACCACGAAATTGTTAATGTTTAAAAGAGCTATTTTGAAGTATATGTCTAATCTAAAAAGTAAGTTGGATGCTTGATAGCAGCAGCTGATTGTAAAGTCTCATAAGTTATTCCTGCCAATAGTGTTTAGTGTGGATCAAATTATGAGGAAATAATCAGACAAATCCATATTGAGGGATATTACAAAACGGTCAGTCTGCACTGTCATTGTCAGAAAAAAGAGAGGAACTGGGAGACTATTCTAGATTAAAGAAGATTATAAAAATGTTGTTATGAGATATGATCCTTAGTTAGATTCCAAATCTAAAACAAAAAGTTATGAAAAGTGTTACTGGAATAATTTGGAAAATTTTAATATGGACTGTATATTGTATTGTAATATTGTGTCAATGTTAAAATTCTCCAGTGTGATAATTCTATTGTGTACATTAGGAAAATGTTCTAGTTCTTAGGAGATACATGGAAAACTCTTTGCAGTCACAGAGTTTGCAAGTTATTTTTTCCATCTTTTTTTGTTGGTGCATTATAATTGTACATAATGATGGGATTTGCTGTTACATATCTGTACTTATACACAGCATAACAATATAATTTAGCCAATATCACTCCCTAGCTCCCTCCCTGCCTCCCACCCCTTGATTGCTTTCCTTTTCTGATCTCCCTTTGATTTTCATGACATCCAGCCCCACCTTTGCTTTCCTTTTTCTTCTCTAGCTTCCGCATTTGAGGGAAAATATATAACCCTTGACCTTCTGAGTTTTGACTTGTTTTGCTTAACACAGTGGTCTCTAGTTCTATCCATTTTCCTGCAAATACCATAATTTTATTTTTATTTATGGCTGAATAAAACTCCATTTATGTATACATACATTTTCTTTATCCATTCATCCATTGATGGACATAGCCTGGTTCTATAGTTTGGCTATTACGAATTGTCTGCTATAAACATGAGTATGCATATATTGCCAGATGATGACATTGATTCTTGAGGGTAAATACCAAGAAGTGGTATAACTGGGTTATACGGTGATACCATGAGTACATGAGTCTAGCTTTTCGAGGAACTGCCACACTGATTTACATAGTGGTTACACTAATTTACAGTCACCAAGAGTGTAAAGGTATTCCTTTTTCTCCACATCGTCTCCTTTATTTATTGTTATTTGTGCTCTTGATGACTGCCATTCTGACTGGTATGAGATGAAATCTCAGTGTAGTTTTAATTGCAGCTTAATTTTTAATGGTTTGAAAAAAAATATGTACAAATTTAGAAAGTATAAGACATAAGGCAAAAGTTAATCTTGATGAATCCAGATAAGAAATGTAGGAGAGTTCTTATATGTTTTCCTTTCTTCTTCTTCTTTTTTTAAAAAATTATTTTTATTTTTTTATTTGTTCTTTTTAGATATACATGACAATAGAATGTATTTTGACATATTATGTGTACATGGAGTATAACTTATTCTAATTTGGATCTTATGTTTTGTATAACTGAATTAAAAAAATAACTGGGGTAATGAAATAAATAAAAATATTTACTAAGATATGATTTTTCTTTTTCAGCTCCTTCTACTGAATTAGTTTCTGGAGGATCTGACAATCAAGTGATTCACTGGGAAATAGAGAATAATCAAGTGGGTAGACATTTATAAGGAAACATTTCTATTTGCAAACTTTCCCCCTCATTTTTCCTGTCTTTCTTTTATGAAGTTCCATCATTTTTGTTTATCTGTAATCCAGATGCTGTATTTTCTATACTTCATAGGCCCTGTATCCCTTCCCCTATTCAGCTCTGTTCCAATATTCATATGCTTGCTTTCTTTTTTTCCTCCCCATATTCAATGTGCTTTCAATCATCTCTGTGAATTCCATGTCATTTTGGAATAATTTTCAAACTCTTCTTACATGGACTGTTCTGTTTTCAGTGGTAGTAAAAATTGTTACTGTGTTAACAGGGCAGGTACTGCCACATGAATTTAGGCCTACGTAAATCCTGAATGATATTATCTGTACTGAATGGTGTGGATGGTCCTCTACTGATGAACAATTAGATTGTTTCAATCTATTAGCAAAGATTAAAAGTGAAAAAAGTTGGTATATTAGATATCTGAACATCTACCATGCAGAAGATACAGATAAGGCAGAGTCCTCCTACTCATGAGTCATGTACATAGTTTTGAAGGCAAAATGAACTGGAATAATTACACGTCAGGTGATTCCATGCATAGGTGTGCTTACTTGTTGCCCAACAACCATAGTGCTATGGGAATTCAAAAAAGATTTAAGAGGTGGCCTTTGTGTTGAGTGTTAAAGTGCAATATGAGTGCCCTGGGGGAAATTAAAATGGAAAGGATCCAGGTGGGGAAAAAATAGCAATTTTATTACATGTACGAATCTTTTCCCCATCTCTTAAATCTCTTAGCATCCTTTGTAACTCTGAGGAACAGTTTAGGAAATGTTACTAGATCATACATTGTGGACAGTAGTTTTAGTGAAATACAATAGAAGATCATGTCAGAATTTGAATACTAGCTTTAAGTATTTCTTCTTTATTAGTATGCATTTGGAAGTCAGCAACAATTTTTAAGCCCAGGAATATGAGTATCAAAAGAAGATTAATCTGATACCAGAATGCCAAATTAGTATGGGAAAAAATATAAAGGGAAGGATATGGGATATATTTTTGAAGGAAAATTATTTTACTATTGACTGATTGGTTGTCAAAACAGTGTTGATCTGGCCCGGGGTTGTGGCTCAGTGGTAGAATGCTTGCCTAGCGTGTATGAGGCACTGGGTTCGATTCTTGGCAGGGGTATTGTGTCCACCTACAACTAAAAAAAATATTTTAAAAAAAGAGTGTTGATCTGATGGCAGGTAAATAAACAATGAAAAATGATGTGACTTCCTTTTAGGGCCCTGAGAGAAAGGTGTTTTTATAGAGAAAAATAGGGAAGTAGGAAGGACGATGTGGAATCAGTTGTAGACATGTTATTTGAACTGTAGGTTAGATAACCTGACTTATCCTCAAAAATAGAAGGCAGATATGGAGGTAGATTTTGGAGCCACCTGAACTTGAGTGGGGGAATGTAGCAAACTTGGCTCCTGTTTAGACCAATCTTGGCAGAAGAATCCAGAAAGAGATATTTGAGCATTTGTTTTTGACACTTTGAGGGGAGACTTGAAGACTCTTTCCTCAGTATTGTCCCTCTTATCTCCTGACAATAGAGGATTTCAGGTTAAGCAGTCATATCTGATGGCAGACAGCAGATGTAGAAAGGGGGAGAATGTGAGGCCAAACTGGGAGGAAGAGGAGAAAAAGGGGGCTGAAAGGCATAAAAGAGGGATGAAAGAATAAGGATTCAGAGGAAGGGGCCATATACTCTAACCTCCTTATGGGCTTACATGTTCTTCCCCATGTGCATTTCCTTGGGTGCTCAGTGCACTTTGACTGCTGATCAAAGGAAATCTAGAGCTGGGGATATAGCTAAGTTGGTAGAGTGCTTGCCTCACATTCACATGCACAAGGCCCTGGGTTCAATCCTCAGCACCACAAAAAAAAAAAAAAAGGAAGTTTAAGTTGGTGTAATAAGAGGTTTGGGTCTTTGAACAGTAAGCATTGTTTCTTAAAAAGCTAGTGAACTTGAGAGATTACTTCTGTTTTGTATGTGTGCACACGCATGCATGTGCTTAAAATTTTCTGATGCTTGAACTATAACCCTGCCTAAATGTGTAAAATGAATATTTTCATTATATTTAATTTTTTTAGGGGACAATGATATAGGTTCATGTAAATAAAATTTATAAATACAGAAAATTTTAAAGAAGGAAAAAAACTATACAAAATCTGAGCATAGTTAACTTTCTGAATAACAACATTCCAGATCCTTAGTTCTCTGTGTGTAATTATGCATAAAACAGATTGTACTGTGTGTGAACCATTTGGAAATATTTTTTCAAAGAAGCCATAGGTTAATGATTAAAGTTAGTGTACAGATCTTAATGCATAAGTATTAGCTACTTTGTTCAGTGGTAGATTTTTGCTTAAGTAATTGGGAAAACAACTGAGCAGACATTGAAGAAACACTTATTTTGTCAGACAATTTAAAGAGAAGATCTTTCAAAGGAAGTAGTGGAATCTTACACATTTGAAAGAAACTCACAGACCTGGGCTTGGGAAGCAGCTCAGTTTTAGAGCACTGTGTAGTATGCCAAGGTTCCAGGTTCAGTCCCTAGTACTCCCAAACAAACAAACAGCAAAAAAAAAAAAAAAAAAAAGCAGTGAAAAGAATACCAGAAGGAATGTTGCAGGGCAAGTAGATCAATTTGCTGAACAAATTTCCATTTCTGTGTTCCATTTTTCTGTTTTGCAGCCATACTTGGTATAAACATATTTACATATTATCACCAAAAACATTTTAACTTCACAGTGGAAAAAAAAAAAAAAAAACTGAAAGAAACTACTAAGATTACAGGGTTAACATAACTAAAATTTTGACAAACTGATTTGTGCCTCTTGTTATGGTCCACTTGTATAGTAATGCTGTTAGAATATATATCCTGAATCTATTCAAAATGTACATTCCGAGTTTATTCATGAGGAAACATCAGATTAATCCAAAAAGAAGGACATTGCACAAAGTTGGACTATATTCTTTAAAAAATGTCAATGTCATGGACATATTTCCATGGCAGTAGGCATACATTTATCTAAATTAGTAGGCATACATTTATCTATATTATCATTTTTATTGTATACATATAATGTATGTGTACTCTAATTTATTTCATCAGTTATCTATTGATAATTTTGGGTTGCTTGTGATTTTTCACTATTATAAACAGCATGTGGTGAAGATCCTTGTTGTTCATTTGTCTTTTACTGTTACTTGCTATACTAGTACTATTCTTAGAGTCAATTCTTTAATGTGACATTGCTGAGTTAAAGGGTGTTTATTTTTGTGTGCTGTTAACATAGACTTCTTGAATGTTTTCATTCTCTTCAACTTGGAGGCCTGTTTCTGTGCCATACATTAATTGGCACCTTTAATCCTATGATCCCAGCTAAATAAAGGTGAAACTGATAATTTCCTTTTTAATCATAATTCTTTTGTCTTTCATTCTGATTCAGCTTTTAAAAAAAGTTCATCTCCAAGGCCATGAAGGACCTGTTTATGCAGTGCATGCTGTTTACCAGAAGGGGTCATCAGGTGTTGCAGTACACACACTGATAGTTTCTGCTGCTTCAGATTCCACAGTTGGACTCTGGCTTAAAAAGGGTTCAGAAGGTAGGTCTGGAGGTATTATAATCCTGATGAATGAAATAGTAATTATCAAATGAAAGAAAACTAGAGGAGCATACCTACAACTTTTTCAAACATTCAGATAACTTTAAGAATGCTACAATTGTAATCTAAATGTTTTTCTTTTACAATCTTTTCAAAATTCCCCTACACCAAACTAACAATGTAAATTCCTTCTAAGCTTTACCACTGAGTTATATCCCAGGCCCTTTTTATCTTATTTTTTAGTTTGAAGCAGGATCTTACTAAGTTACTGAGTCTAGCTTGAACCTGCAATCCTCCTACCTTGGCCTCTTGTATTGCTGGGATTACAGATATGCGCCATCATGCCTGGCCTTCTAAGCATTTTTATGAGTCATTTTGTTCTGTGTAACCTTGTTAGAATTTAGTCATTTAATGTCACCTGGTCAAGTAAGGGCTTAAGATTGACTTCTCTCATCTCTCAGCTGATAGCCAGGTCTGTGATGGTCAGAGATGGTTGTTTATGGTATGGTGTTTTTAAATTTTTTCTTAGTAACATGCCTTCAGACGTTGAACTTTGGAAATGGATTTGCTCTGGCTCTCTGTTTATCCTTTTTGCCTAATACTGATGGTGAGTATCCTTGTAAGTATATAATAAAAGATCAATATATTTATATATCTCCATACAACTAGAGCCTAAAAGACCTGTATGTATCTTAATTTTATATTTGTTTGTTTTCACTTTTTTGGGGGTGTTTTTTTGGTGGTACTGGTGGCAGACCATGGGCTTCACACATTAGGCTGCATTCTGCCACTGAGCTATACCTCAGCCTTTTTTTTTTTTTTTTAAATATTTTTCTTAGTTGTAGATGGACACAACATCTTTATTTATTTATTTTTATGTAGTGCTAAGGATTGAACCCATTGCCTCATGTGTGTAAGGCAAGTGCTCTACCACTGAGCCACAACCCCAGCCCCGTACCCTCAGCCTTATATCTAAAAGTTTTCATGAAACAAATTGAGATGTGGATAAAACACTTTTGTTACAATATTCAAATGATCTAAGTTTAGAACATAAGGTTGCAGGAGGCTATTAGGAAATTTGTAGCTGTTGAAAATTTAAGTAACTTAATATATACTGAAGATTGATATAGCTGCTTATGAACATGGATGTTTTATGGTTCTAATTTGGGAAAAGTGTCTAATTCTTTAGAAGGTAAGGTCTGAGATAAGTTGAAACTGTACAGAAGATGAACCATGTGAGCCTTTCTCTCAAGATGACAGCCTTTTCAAATCTTGCATGGTGATAGTTTGTCGAGCCCACTTAAAATCTCCAAATAGAAAAATTTTCCTTTTGCTATGCAACTCAGTTGTACCTATCTTTTCATTTTCCTTCACAAAAGTGATAGCCAACGTGAGGCAGTCATTCACTTTGCCACCTCTGTTACTAGGACAGGAATGATGAAAAAAGATAGGGCCTAGAAGTGCCAGTCTTTCTTGCACTCTGCAGCAGAAGCTGTGACTCTATAGTTTCATGTTATGTTCCCTCTTGTGCAAGGGTTCCTTGAGAGAAGGATCTGGAAGCATCTGGTTTTTAACATAGAATTTCATTTCTCTTCATTTATTGAGGCCAAGTGACTGGAGTTTTTGTTTTGATTTAAAGTGAGACGACCTTTAAAAACACATTTGGTAGCACAGTATTTCCTTAGAAAAGAATCCAGGTTTTATCTTGCTCCTGAGTCATTAGGGCTTTCCTTAGATAGTGTGAATTTGTTTTTTGTCTTATTAAAGATAGCTCATTTTAGTCACTCTTTTCAAAGCTTTTTCGCTACGTATTTAATTACTTACTACTTGATCTTTTACTTTGTTTTAATATTGAATTCAGTCTTCAGTAAAATGTAAAGTTCTTGAAGTTACAAACATATCTGTACATCTTTGCACTAATAGTGATGCTGTGCTCAGAGTAGCTATTTATTATTCAGTTGGACTAACAGCTTCTCATATTGGTCTTTTGGCTTAGATGGTAAAAATGTACCCTATTTGCTCTTTTTTTTTTTTGGTATTGGGGATTTAACCCAGGGGTGCTTTACCACTGCATCACATTCCTGCCGCCGCCCCCCCCCCCCTTTTTTTAATACAGCCAAGAATGTAGATTTTATTTATCTATTTATTTTTGGTGTTTATGTATTTATTTAATTTTTAAATTGATTTTTATTTTTTAAATACATGACAGTGGAATGCATTACAATTCTTATTACATATATATAACACAATTTTTCATATCTTTGTATATACAGTATGTTCATGCCAATTCATTTCTTCATACATGTACTCTGGGTTTTTTTTTTTTTTTTTGCATTACAATTCTTTTTACACATATATACCATAATTTTTCATATCTCTGTTTGTATATAAAGTATGTTGACATCTAATTCGTGCCTTCATACCTGTACTTTGGATAATAATGTCCACCACATCATTCCTGCCCTTTTTATTTTTTATTTTGAGAGAGTGTCTCATTAACTTGCTTAGGGCCTTGCTAGATTGCTGAGTCTGACCTGGAACTTGTGATCCTCCTGCCTCAGCCTTCTGAGCCACTGGGAATATAGGCATACACCAGCACACCTGACTCCCTACTTGCTCTTGGGCTTCTTTTACATTGCTCCTTCTATCATAAGTAGCATAGATACTAATTGTCTGAGTTTATTGTTATTATTTGTTAAGTAACCATTGACTAATATGTTTTTGAGTATCACATTTTATTCCTGGAGATATTCATTGAACATTTTCAGTTTGTTCAGTGGTGTGGGAAATGGAAGTCAGGATACTTTACATAGAGTTTAGAATCCATGTAGGTGATCCTACTTGTGATGGGGTATTTACAGTCATGCCTTTTTTTTTTTTCTTCTAGTACCAATATTAGCATGTGGTGATGATGACTGCAAAATTCATTTATTTGTTCAACAAAATGATCAGGTAAATAATGATATTTATTAAGAGACGAGAATTACTATCCACTTAGTCATATATCTTAATACGGACTACTTACAAATTATAATTCAGGAATGTTAAAATTCAAACCAAAATCGTCCAATAGGGGAATCTTTCCTTGACAATTCTTCTATTAGATAGTCTTTCTTTTTTTTATTTGAACATCAAGTAATTTCAGCCTTAGCCACCAGGCCGAGTTGTTGGGGGAAACAGGTAATCAGGTAATTTGGTTCTGGAGAGAAGGAAGATGCCATGGTAGTGCTTTTTTTTTTTTTTTTAATTTCAAATGAGGTATAACATACCTGTAGTAAAGCCAGTGTTTATTTATCCTTCTGAGTTTTACCTACACTTTGAGTGTCCTAAACTAAGGGAAAGAAGTTCCAGGAATTAGGTTGGTTAACTCTAGGCCCAGTTTCTGTTCTGTAGGATCCAGTGTTTTTATATACTGTATCCATAGCATGTCATTTTATCTTGTAAACATTTAAATTACTTGATATCTATAGATATTGTGTTATCAACTCAGAGTTGTTCAGTTAATGACTTAAGTATTACATGATGAGATTTTTTTTGTTCCCAAATGAGGGCTTTATCCTGTGTTTAATCAGGTAGCATTCTTAATAAAAGCAGTAGGACTGACTGAGATAAAATGAAGTCAATATATGTGAAAATGTTAAATTATCAAGCCCAGTGATTTTCATTATCTTACTAGTTTCAGAAAATGCTTTCTCTCAGTGGACACGAGGATTGGATAAGAGGCGTGGAGTGGGCAGCCTTTGGTCAGTATGAAATTTTGCTGATGTATGGCTGACGGGAACAAGTATGTGTAACTTCCAAAAAAGCAGTCTCCTGTGTTTTAGTTTGTTTTGTTTTGTTTTAGTTATAGTTTATTTTTTAGTTACATGTGGATGCAATATCTTTATTTTGTTTTTATGTGGTGCTGAGGATCGAATCCAGTGCCTCACACATGGTAGGCAAGCGCTCTACCTCTGAGCCACAACCCCAGCCCTCCTGTGTTTTAATTTTAAAGTTTTCTTTATGTCTTAACATATTTCTCTTGTCCCAATTAGTAAAGAGGATACATATCTCTCTGTTAACTGTTAATTGGTGGTAGAAGATGAACCAGGTTGATGTTTCAAGATGATGCCAACTATATTGTCTACATGCAGGCATTCTTGAAAAGTTCTTGGTAGAACCATCTATGAATAACATTTATTATTGCATCTGTGTTTGTCAGTATTTATTAAAATGAATGTAGGTCAAATGAATGAAGGGTTTTTTATATCTACATTTAAAAATTATACCATCTGTTTTTTAATTAGGTAAAGATCTTTTCCTAGCAAGCTGTTCACAAGATTGCCTGATAAGAATATGGAGGTTGTATGTAAAATCGACATCTTCAGAAACTCAGGATGATAATATAAGGCTGAAGGAAAATACTTTTACTATTGAAAACGGAAGTGAGTAACTGAAAATATTTGCTGTACTTGAGTCTACTGGCTGAGTCATTTTATCTATTTCAACACACATCTATGTGAAGGTTCATTTTTTTAGAAGTGTCGGATTCCTATCTGAAACTGATATGGTTTTGGTTTTTATTCGTATGTGAAATTGAGTTATTTTTCATATTTAAAAATTATTTTTCTTCTAAGCTATAATGTTTAATGTTTCCCAATAAATTAATTTGTAAAAGGTTTCTGAATTTGCAATTTTAGCATAGAAAGAAATAAGGTAATAGTGTGAATTACTCATACTTTTGTTGGAGTATATTCTTTTTGCATCAAGGATTAAACCCAAGGGCATTTAACCACTGAGCCACATCCCTATCTCTTTTTATTTTTTATTTGAGACAGAGTCTCACTTGGTTGCTTTACAGCATCATTGAGGTTGCTGAGGCTGGTCTTGAACTTGTGATCCTCTTACCTCAGCCTCCCAAGCCGCAGGGATTACAGGTGTGTGCCACTGCACCCAGCCTGTTGGAGTGTATTTTTAAGAGACTAGCTAAATCTCTACATTGGATTACTTTTTTTTTTTTAATATAGCCAAGAATGTAGATTTTATTTATCTATTTATTTTTGGTGTTTGTGTATTTATTTAATTTTTTAAATTGATTTTATTTTGATTTTCTTACTGTCTAGCATTAGAATGTTACCCTTGCATGGTAGATACTGTTGATTTGTTGAATTTGAAAGAGATTTTTTTTTTACATGTGTATCTAGATTGTAAAATTAGTTCTCAGTAAGCGTTGTTCACCTAGGTATACTGTTATAAAGCCTATTAGAGTTGAAATTTGGGTATAGGGTTTTGTGAGGATAACAAATAAATGATATGACCAGAATATTATGAGTAGCTATACCCAAATGTAAAATTGTTCATTAATTATTTTGTTTTAAATTATCTTAAATTATTTTGTTTTAATTAATGTTCCTTGTTTCTGCATTTATTTTATTTTTTAAAAATGGTATTTTAGGTGGTATCTTGATAAGGAGTGTGGAAACAAGGAGGCTGGCCTTTCTTTGTTTGCTTTTAAAATATATATATGTAGGGACTGGGGTTGTGGCTCAGCAGTAGAGTGCTCGTCTAGTATGTCCAAGGCCCTGGGTTCGATCCTCAGCACCACATAAAAATAAATAAAATAAAGGTATTGTTCAACTACTTCTAAAAAATAAATATTTAAAAAATATATTTGTATATGTAGATATTTAAATTTAAATTTATTTATTTTTCACTGTGCTGGGGATGGAACCCAGGTCCTTGCACATGCTAGGAAAGTGCTTTTAACATTGAGCTACACCCCTAACCCTGTTTTTTCATTTTGTTTTGTTTTGTTTTAGCAGTACTAGGTGTTGAACCCAGCACACTCTATCACTGAACTACATACCATCCCTTTTTTGAATGTTTTTTATTTTGAGACAATGTGTTGCTAAGGCTGGCCTCGAACTTGCAGTCCTCCTACTTTAGCTTCCCAAGGAGCTGGGATAACAAGCATGTACTACCGTGCCCTTCTCCCAGCCCTAATTTTTAAATGGACACAAAAAAATCATAAAAATTGTGCATGTAATGTTTCAATACACTTATAGTGTGTATGTTTTTGCTTTATAATCACTGTATAACAGCTGTTTCAAAAAGTTTTTTTTTTTTTAGTAAAACGGTCCTTAATATTTGACCAGGTAGAGAAAAATTCATTTTTAAAACTTTATCTCTTATTATTTTGAAGAGTGGGTAAGGTTAATAAAATTTAGAATACTGGTTCTTTTTGTTGAATCTCATCTGTTATGTTTCATTCTAATTTTTAAATGTAGTTGCACAACTGAATTGGTCATGCATATATTCTTTTTAGCAGATATTTGAGGGAAAAATACCTTCATTGCTTTTGTTGTAGGTAGTAAAATAACGTTTGCAAATACTCTGGAGACTGTGTTGGCTGGTCATGAAAACTGGGTAAATGCGGTTCATTGGCAACCTTCATTTTACAAAGGTAAGAAGAAAAACATGCAGATCCCATTTCAGTTAACTCCTGCAGTATTTTAAGCTTGTCAGCTGAAGTGGAGGATTTTTATGAGGGTGATTAGAAATCTTAAGATATAATACATTTTCAAGTTGGTGGAGTGTAAGGCTGCGTTCCTGGTGTGGTGGACACTAAGTTCCATTGAAAATTGCTCTCTTAATTGGGTGAAGTATGATCTTTGTTGTGATGCTGAAACTACCACACCTCCATTAACTTTATTTCTTAAAAGTTTCTACCTAGTCATTAAGAGATTTTAAGGAAAATTGACTTTCAAGCTTCTTTCACAGGAACCTTTTGCCTTGGTAATAAAGTTAATAATACTGAGATATAATACTTATGAAAAAGTAAGAACTTTTTTCCTTCTTTCTTTTGCTCATAAGTTCCATTTATGGAGTGGTGGTTTTATCATGCCCAAGCTGGTGCTGGGTATAGAGCTGAGCAAGGCCAGACCTTATGGTTTATCCATCCCCTTCCCCAAGATAAGAATAATGGTAATTAATGCTCAAGGAATCACCATTCAGCTCTTATTACATTATGCTATATTTCTCACTGTCTTTAAATTTTTTATTGTTCTCTCTCTTTGGGCCAACTCTGATGCATCCCATTTGGCCTTTGTTAGTGGCTTCTTTTATTTCCAGCTCATAATACCTCAATTTTTACTAGTCTAATAAGCCCCTCTATTGTCAGTTAACATAGAACTCTGCCAAGGGTTACTGCTTCACCTTTTCTTCACTATAGAACCAACTAGCTGTACTTTTAGGAACTCAAGCAAGGTTAATTTAAAAACAAAGTCCAGTCTTCTCTTTTATTAATAATTTGAAATTGCATTTTCACTGTTAAAACAAGAGTAAGCCATTATTTTGGACTCAGCTCTTATACCAGACCACAATTGACCAGACTAAAAATCAAAGTGAGTCACACATGTTAAAGTTCCACATCATCAAGCTGCAGCTAAGCTCTTTATCTTACTTTCTAAGATAATTCAGGATTAGAGAGATTGCGGCCAAATTTTCCATAGTGAAAAACAATGTTAGATATTATACATACCAATAATTCCTGTACTTTTAAACCTCCCCTTCCATCCTTCTGTAGAGGCAACTACAGTACTGAATTTAGTGCCTATCATTCCTATGCATATGTTTATTCTTTTATTGCACATTTGTATACCAATAAATAATATTGTTTTTATTTATAATATATCAAAACTTCATACCTATATATTTTTATTCTTTTACAAGATATGTTTTTAATTTAAAATGTTTGGAAGTATATCCATGTTGATTCATGTGATTAGTTATTTTTTTAAATTGCACTATAATATTTCAATGCTTGAATATACCATAGCTTGTTTATCTGTTCTTCTAATGGTTGGCCTTTATGCTATTTGCACATCTTTGCTATTATAAACAATGCTTCAGTGAATGTTCTTGAAGTATGCTTATTGTGTTGTTTCTGATACAAGCACAGTGCTTGTTAATCACCTAAAGGTATTAGTTTTTATTCTTTAGATGGTGTTCTACAGCAGCCAGTGAGATTATTGTCTGCCTCAATGGACAAAACCATGATTCTCTGGGCTCCAGATGAAGAGTCAGGAGTTTGGCTAGAACAGGTAAAATGTGGATACCTAAGGAACAGAAATTTGGGGCTGGGGATGTGGCTCAAGCGGTAGCGCGCTTGCCTGGCGTGCGTGCGGCCCGGGTTCGATCCTCAGCACCACATACAAACAAAGATGTTGTGTCTGCCGAAAACTAAAAAATAAATAAATATTAAAATTCTCTCTGTCTCTCTCTCTCTCTCTCTCTCTCTCTCTGTCTCTCTCTCTTTAAAAAAAAAAAAGGAACAGAAATTTGGAATTTGTAAACTAAATATTTAAATCCTAAATCTGTATTGTTAGATATATAAATTTGCAGTTTTTGTATACATTAAATGAGTTAGAACTTGAAATCTGTAATCCGTTTCCATTGTAAAAAATGGTCCTATTATACTTGAGAATATATATTCTGCAGGGAATAGTAGTTCATACTTATTATGTAGATATAACTTGTTAATTGCTGTGCTCAATTCTGTTTCCTTATTGATTTGTCTGATTTTCTGATGGAGCTATCAATTACACAGAGAGCATGTAAAAATATCTCATAATCCAATAGTGGATTTTACCTATTTCTCCTTATAGTTCTGTCAGTGAGGCAATGGTATTAGCTATGTCTAAATTAGAATTGTTATATTTTGTATGTGACTTGAAACTTTAATTAGTGTTATTTACTATCTTTACTTCTAAGAAAACTTTTTAATCTTAAAAAGAAATGGGACTATTAAGTGAAAATTGTTTTCTGTTATTGTGTAGGTTCGAGTAGGTGAAGTAGGTGGAAATACTCTGGGATTTTATGATTGCCAGTTCAATGAAGATGGTTCCATGATTATTGCTCATGCTTTCCACGGAGCACTGCACCTTTGGAAGCAGAATACAGTTAACCCAGTAAGAAAAGCACTTTTCAAGCAATTCTAATCACATCGAGTGAATATTCAACCTAGCTAAATAGTGTTTTACTTATAACACTGTACAGAAGCATAGGAGAGGCCTTTAAGTTGACATCACTTATTTCTGTAGACATTATACTGTGTTTATAGTAGGTAAGAAACTCATGCTTTTCTAAGAAGAGTACAGCAGCATTGAAGAATTGAATGAATTCTGGGGTTGTGGCACATTGGTAGAACATTTGCCTAGCATGTGCAAGGCCCTGTGTTCAATCCCCAGCATTGCCCCCATCAAATTTTTCTTGTTTTATAAATGAAAAATAGGGCTGCTATATATGGATACTATATAAGTATATTTTAAATTAAATAAACAAATAAGAACATTAAGCTAAATGTTACAGTGTATTCTGAATATGTATCTAATGGTTTCTTTTATAAAGTAGAAATTCATACATTTGTATAACTTTTAGTTTGTGGACTTGAAATAGTTGTGTCACCTATGAGGTTTTGATTTCTTAGTTCATAGGGAGAATCTACTCTTTTTCTTACATTCTCCATTTGGAGTTGACCTTTAAGATTGATGAACAATTATGACACTATTAAGGTAGAAAATGTTTTTTAAGATAAATTTTGTTTCCTTAACTCAGCTGGTCTTTGAGGGCTGTCATAGAATTAAAAGCATTAGATGAGTAAGGAGAGACACAAGCCAGAAGATAGATTCTCACTGTACCTGTGCTTTACAATTTGACTCATCAAATGTTAAGAGTGATTTGTTTTTCCAATGGGCTTCTTTTTTTTTTTTTAATATTTTTTTTTTAGGGCTGGGGATGTGGCTCAAGCGGTAGCACGCTCGCCTGGCATGTGTGCAGCCTGGGTTAGATCCTTAGCACCACATACAAATAAAGATGTTGTGTCCCCCGGAAACTAAAAAAATAAATAAATATTAAAAAATTCTCTCTCTCTCTCTCTCTTAAAAAAGATTTTTTTTTAAGATGTTGATGGATCTTTATAATGTTCATTTCTTTATATGCAATGCTGAGAATTGAGCCCACTACTTCACATATGCTAGGCAAATACTCTATCATTAAGCCACAACCCTACCCTGGAAATGGGCTTTGTTTTTTAGAGCAATTTTAGGTTAGTAGCAAAATTGAACAGAAAATTCAGAGTTCTCTGTATCTTCACCCCAGCACAGCTTCCCCCTATACCAATACCCCAAACCAGAGTTGTACATTTGTTACAATCAAGGGTGTTTTTTTGTTGTTGTTTTTAGTACTAGGGATTGAATCGAGGAGTACTCTAGTACTGAGCTATATCCTTAGCCCTTTTTATTTTTATCTTTGGCACTGGGGATTGAACCCAGAGGTGCCTAACTACTGGGCCACATCCCCAACCCCCCTTTTTTTAAATCTTTTTTTTAGTTGTTAATGAACCTTTATTTTATTTTATTCATTTATTTATATGTGGTGCTGAGAATTGAACCCAGTGCCTCACATACAAGGCAAGTGCTCTACCACTGAGCCACAACCCCAGCTCCACTTTTTATTTTTTGAGACAGAGTGTTGCTAGGTTGCTTAGGGCCTCACAATTGTTGAGATTGGCCTCAAACTTGGCAGTCCTCCTGCCACAGCCTCCTGAGTAGCTGAGATTCCAGGCATATACCTCTCTTGCTTAGGGCTTCACAAGTTGCTGAGGCTGGCCTCAAACTTGTGATCCTTTCTTAGTCCCTGGGATTACAGGCATGTGTCATCACACCCAGCTTGGTGGGTGATTTTTTAAAAGCAAATAAATACTGCCCTTTAGGATTGTTACTGTGGAAAACTATGCTATTAGTCTAAAAGAGCTGTCCATTGCTCAGAACTTTTTTATTTTATTTTATTTTTTTTTAGTTGTAATAGGCACAATATCTTTATTTATTTTCTTATTTATTTTTATGTGGTGCTGAGGATCAAACCCAGGGTCTCACACCTGAGAGGCAAGTGCTCTACCACTGAGCTACAGCCCCAGCCCCATCACTCAGAACTTTTAAACTCATATTAGTGTTAACATTAGAACCTGATTCTATGTCATAGAAGAAATTAATATTTTTTTCTTTCACTTTTTTTAATACCAGATTACTGATTATATTCATCAGATTTGGCTTTGAATGACCTGCCAGTTATTGATACAAATTTCATTTTCCTCTAACAGAAATTTTTAACTAAAACATTTTTTAGTTATAGATGGACACAATATCTTTATTTATTTATTTATTTTTATGTGGTCCTGAGGATCAAACCTAGTGTCTACACATGCTAGGCAAGTGCTCTACTACTGAGCTGCAACACCAGCCCCTAAAAATTTTGAATTTTTATAGTACCTTATAGTTATACGTAATAGTGGAGTTCATTTTAACATAGTGATACATGTATGGAATATGATTTGCTCCATTTTAGTCCATAGTGCTTTCTCTTTCCCTTCTTTCTTTCCCTACCACTGTTCCCCTTGCATCTATTCTGCTGGTCTCTTCTATTTATTTATTATTATTTTAATTGATGCTTTATAGATATACCTACATGTGGAACTCAGTGTGGTATATTCATATTAGTGTGATTTTGTCACTTTCGTTCCACAACTCCTCCCTTTTCCTGGCCCTCCTCCCTCTTCCTGGCCCTCCTCCCTCCCCTTCAGTCTCCTTCCTCGACGCCACTGATCTACCCTCTATGTTCATGGGATCCCCCTTATCTCCCTATACTTTGCTCTAGCTTCAACATATGAGAGAAAACATTTGACCCTTGATTTTTCTGAGTCTGGCCTATTTAACTTAGCATAATGTTCTCCAGTTATGTTCATTTACCAGCAGATGCCATAATTTCATTATTTTTTTATGACTGAGTAAAATTCCATAGTGTACACATACCACATTTCCTTTATCTACTCATTGTTGATGGGCACCTGGGCTGGTTTCATAACTTAGCTGTTGTTGAATTGTCCTGCTATAAACATTGATGTGGCTATGTCACTGTAATATGCTTTTTTTTTTTTTTTTTGTACCAGGGATTGAACCCAGGGGTAAATCACTGAGCCACATCCCCATCCTTTTTTATGTTTTATTTAAGACAGACAGGATGTTGTTGAGTTGCTTAGGGCCTCACTAAGTTGCTTAGGTTGACTTTGAACTCACGATCCTCTTGCTTCAGCCTTCTGAGTCGCTGGGATCACAGGTGTGCATTACCATGTCCTGATGTAATATGCTGGTTTTAGTTCTTTTGGGTAAATACCAAGGAATCAGGTAGCTGGGTCATATGGTGGTTCTTTTCTTAGTCTCTTAGCAGTATTGAGTAATCTCAATACTGCTTTACAAAGTGGTTATACTAATTTGCAGTCCCACCAACAATGTATGAATTTACCTTTTCCATATCTTTGCTTACATTTTTTATTTTTTGTATTCTTGATGATTGCCATTTAATGGAATGAGGTGAAATCTTAATGTAGTTTTGATTTGCATTTCTCTGATTGCCAGAGATGTTGAACATTTTTCATACATTTGTTGGTTGTTTTGTATTTCTTATTTTGAGAAATGTTCTTTTGCCTGTTTATTAGTTGGGTTATTTGGGTTTCTTGGTGTTTTGTTTTTTGAATTCTTTACATATTCTGGATATTATTACTGTTCAAGGTTATGTAAAAAGAGACTCTGGACCATGCATATGACATTTTCTGTATTTTCCTATTGGTATTTATTACATGGTTGTTGCTCAGTAAGTGAATCTAATAGGTTTGATTCTGTCTATTTCTGTCCTTTAAATCTATAACTCCTTTTACTTTAAATCTATAACTCCTTTTACTTTATAAAGCAAGCCACACTCAGAATGTTATTTTATATAATATTTTTTCTTTCATTGTTAAGTTTAACAAAAGCAGAGTATCTGTACACGCAGCATTGTTTTGCATGCTTTACATTGTTCTACACATTTTGCTCATTTAATCAATCCTTTTTTTAAAAATTTTTTAGTTATAGATGGACACAATACCTTTATTATATTTATTTATTTTGTATGTGGTGCCGGGGATTGAACCCAGTGCCTCACGCATGCCAGGCACGCGCTCTACCACTGAGCCATAACCCCGGCCCCTTAATCAATGCTGTTAATGTTTCTATGAGATAGCTGCCATTTTTGTAATATCTTCAGGCACAGAAAGATGAAGTCGATTGTGTTGCTAGGAGACATTCAGTGAAAGATGAATGGAGGGAAATTTCCCAAGATAATTGTTTCAGAGGGTACAACACGTATTTGAATGTTTAATTAATATGGTTGATTAGAAAAGAGATGCTATTATTTTGTGGGGATTTTTTTTTTTTTTGGTGTGTGTGTGTGTGTGTGTGTGCTGGAGATTGAACCCAGGGCCTTGTGCATACCAAGCAAACACTCTACCAACTGAGCTATAGTCCCAGCCCCTGATGCTATTATTTTATGATCCTGTCTTATATATTTAGCTTTTCAATTTGCTCGGGGGTTTCCATCTTTCCTGTTGCCAGACATGAGTGCTTTACTTTGAATGGTGGTGGCCTTTGGTTATTTTGATATGTGTCATGAGTACTTTTATTGCAGAGAGAGTGGAGTCCAGAAATTGTCATTTCAGGACACTTTGATGGTGTCCAAGACCTAATGTGGGATCCAGAAGGAGAATTTATCATCACTGTTGGTACTGATCAGACAACTCGACTTTTTGCTCCATGGAAGAGAAAAGACCAATCACAGGTAAAATATCTTACTACTTGACTAACCACATTAAAAAACTTCCACAAGTAAGTGAAAAATGGGACAACATTGTTAGCTATTAGAAAAGTGCAAATTAAAACCATGATGAGATATCATTATATATTCTTAAGCTGAACTAAAAAAGAGTGACATTAACAGCTGCTTGTAAAAATGTAGAGTGACTATAACTTTCGTACTTTGCTGATGGGAAAGCAAAATGATCCCGCCACTCTGGAAATTTGTTTGGCATATTCTTAAAAACTTAAATATTTGTCTCCTTTTTGTAATTCAAACAATAATTCAAGTGTTGGTTGTTAAAATGTATTTTGCTTCAATTTCACATAAAAGTTCTATGTCTTATAGGTTTAACTCATTAGGAAGCATTGTTAAATCTATAGTAAAAAATAATTTCTGAAGTCATCTGGTGTTAGATAGTAGTGGTTGAGGTTGGGGGTAGCCTTTTTTTCTTTTACTTTGGCAATTCTGGGGGGATTGAATATAGGGTCTCACACATGCTAAGCAAATGCTGTACTACTGAGCTATATCCCTAGCCTGAGGGTAGCTCTTGTTCAAGAAAATTCTTCGTCTTGACCATGAGTTCAAACAGTCACAGGAAAATTTTACCACTAACAAACCCTGAACTTCTATGTGTGAAAGAATCTTCACCCTTTATTTCTTTTTTAAAAAATTTTTTATTTATTCTAATGTTTTATATATTACCTTCTGAGAAGTGTCGTTCAGTTCCTTTGCCCATTATTGATTGGGTTATTTGTTTTTTTGGTGTTTAGCTTTTTGAGTTCTTTATATACCCTAGAGATTAGTGCTCTATCTGATGTGCAAGTGGTAAAAATTTGCTTTCATGCTGTAGGCTCTCTATTCACCTCACTGATTGTTTCTTTTGCTGAGAAGAAGCTTTTGGGTTTGAATGCATTTCATTTATTAATTATTGATTTTAATTTTTGTGCTATAGGAGTCATATTAAGGAAGTTGGGACCTAATCCGACACGGTGGAGATTTGGGCCTACTTTTTCTTCTATTAGACACAAAGTCTCTGGTTTAATTCCTAGGTCCTTGATCCACTTTGAGTTGAGTTTTGTGCATGTTGAGAGATAGCGGTTTAATTTCATTTTGTTTAACGGAGTTCTAGTTTTCTTAGCACCATTTGTTAAAGAGGCTGTCTTTTCTCCAATGCATGTTTTTGGCAATTTGTCTAATATAAGATAACTGTGATTATGTGGGTTAATCTCTGTGTCCTCTATTTTATACCATTGGTCTACCAATCTATTTTGGTGCCAATATCATACTGTTTCTGTTACTATTGCTCTATAGTATAGTTTAAGGTCTGGTATAGTTATGCCACCTGCTTCAGTCTTGTTGCTAAGGATTGCTTTAGCTATCTGGGTCTCTTTACTTTTCTAAATGAATTTCCTGGACTGCTTTTTCTATTTCTATGAGGAATACCATTGGGATTTTGATTGGAATTGCATTAAATCTGTATAATGCTTTTGGTAGTATGGTCATTTTGACGAATATGAATTCTGCCTATCCAAGAGCAAGGTAGATCTTTCCATCTTCTAAGGTCTTCTTTGATTTCCACCCTTTATTTCTGACAAAAATTCATGGTACTGAATAGGAGTCAGGTCATGAGAGCTAGTAAGGTTTGCCAGTGGTCTTGCTGCCACAGTAACACAATCGATCATTTGGAGCATCATCTGTAGTCAGTTGAAAATACAAGTCAAATGATTGGGAACGCTTTACTGTGGCTCTTGTTGATGTGCTACTAGGACTGCTTAGTTGTTTATTTTTGCTTGAGTCTGCCCCATGGTCATATTTCTATAGTTTTGCATCTGATATTTTGCTTGTTGAAAAGAATAGATTTTTGAAACATATGGCCATTTTCATTTATTCTGTTTTAATACCCAGGTGACTTGGCATGAAATTGCAAGGCCTCAGATACATGGATATGACCTGAAATGTTTGGCAATGATTAATCGGTTTCAGTTTGTATCTGGAGCAGATGAAAAGGTTCTTCGAGTTTTTTCTGCACCTCGGAATTTTGTGGAAAATTTTTGTGCCATTTCAGGACATTCACTGAGTCATGTGCTTTGTGATGTGAGTATTCTTCTAAAGGTTTCATTTAAACCTAGTCACTTAATTTTAAATTCTAAATATTTTTTGCTTTGGGCTGTAAATGGAGTATATAGAAAAGAAAAGAAGCCATATCACTTATTATTGGTTTGACATATGTTTGTGTGCACTGTGGTGTATGATGGTTTAAATATTAAAACCAGAAAATTGTGTAACAAATGAGCTCAAAACCCTGTAAAGTGGCAATATGATGTTCATTTGAGACATGGATATTATGTATTGTCACTGTGCTAGCTACCTATGATAAACTATACAAGATGAGAAATTATCATCTTGCTTGTAAGGTCGCAGTAAGGGGGCAGTCTGACTAACATAACATACCTGTAATTATTAGATGAGACCATTAACTGCTAAAGCTCATGGTATAAAAGTTAAGTTTCATAGAAGGAACAGGTCACTGCATTGGAGTAATGACAGCATGTTTAATGAGACTTCATTTGGGTTTTGAAAGAATAAGTTTTTGTTTTGTTCATTTACACCCCTCTTACTAAAGATTTTATCTACTTATAAAAATACATGGGTTATAAAAATCACAAAGTAATTTTGAAGGAAGAGAAATTAAGTAGGAAGATAGTTACATTACACAGAAATGTGGATCTTACAGTCCTTTTCCTAGAACTGGGTCCCAGGTTTGGTTCTGCGCTCAAAAGGGTAAGTACAGTTTTATAGGCAGAAGGAAGGAGAGAGGTAGCCAGAGTTTTTGGGGTGTTTGTTGGAATGAAGAGGGAAATGCAAAAGTGGGAGAAGTCAGATCAGGGAGGATTTTGGGAGGCAGGCACACTTCAGACTGTGGAGTGCCATTGGAAGCCCCTTCACAAAGAATGTGGTGAACAAGTATTTTGGAACAAGGAGAATTTTCTGGGAGCCCAGAGATTGAAGGCACAGAAACCAGCACTGACCCAGGTAAGACTGGAGAAGAAAGTGAGAATCATTTGAAATGAAATGCCCTGGAATACTCAGTGCATTGTGCCACAGCATTTCTTAATTATGTAAAGAGGTTTTATGATTTTGTTCTGCCCATTTCTAATAATAATGGGCGTCATGAATGAGATCCAAAGGGAGGTCTTGATTGTGATTCCTATATAGTGCTAACATTTGGGGATAGAGGGATAGTTAGTAGTTTTAGGATCTCTTTAGTTTCAGGGATTGAAACAGAGTTTCATGGAATTCCATGAAAGCCTTAGTCCTAGATATACATTCAATTCCTAAAATACAGGAATCCCTGACAGGCATGGTGGCAGATAACCTGTAATCTCAGCAGCCCAGGAGGCTGAGGAAGAAGGATTGTAAGTTCAAGCCAGACTCAGCAAGTTAGCAAGACCCTAAACAACTTGGAGTAATCCTGTCTCAAAATAAAAAAGGGCTGAGGATGTGATTCAGTGGTTAAGCACCACCCCAGGGTTCAGTCCCAGATAACAAAATAAATAAATAAAACACAGGAATTGTGTAGATTGGAATGTCTCTTGATCTCTTTTAGGTTTTACTTCCATACTAAGTGTTGGGATAGGCATATGGGAAAGCTTGTTATTATTCTTCCCATGCTATGCTATTTCTCTTGAGTTTTGAGTTAAGCATGCAGTTCCTCGTGTTCCATGTAGTTGTTTTTGACGGTGGTTTAAATTCATATCGCTCAAGTTTGTCTAGTTCCAGCTCCTGTATTAAAGTTTAAATTGTAAGAAATTCTTTAACATGGTCATGGGCCAGTTTCAATGATTAGTATGTTTTTTCGTATGTAATAACTTGATTGCTTTTAAATCGTGGAATCTAGGCAGAGTACTGCCTCATCAAATGACATTCTTATTAAGTTTTAAAGTAGGTTTCAATTACTTAAATATGTTTTTGAAAATACTGTGGGGGCTGGGGTTGTGGCTCAGTGGTAGAGCACTTGCCTAGCCTGTGTGAGGCCCTGGGTTCGATCCTCAGCACCACATAAAAATAAATAAATAAAACAAAGGTGTTGTGTCCATCTGCAACTAAAAAATAAATGTTAAAAGAAAGAAAGAAAATACTGTGACTGTCTCTTTCTAGGATTGGGTATCATCAAGGATGTGCCTTTGAGGCTTTCTTTGGAGGTGGAGCTCTGGCCATCCGTCCATTTTTACCCTGCTGCATTTCTTGTCAGACCCTGAAACCCACTGAGCTGTAAGGGTTTTATGTGGAAGAGAAGAAGCTGGCTTTATGGATTGGGTTAGGGTGTATGTTGGAGAGTTATTGCTTGAATTGCAATTCTTGCTTCAAGAAGTAGAAGAGTGGGCAGGCGTTCACACTAGCTGGTCTTGAAATGATTTCTCAGCCTTGTGATCATGGTATTATTCTAATGCCTGAGAAAACCAGTGGCTTTTAGTGTTTAAAACTTACATTATCCTATTTCTTATTCCAGCAAGACAGTGATCTTCCTGAAGGAGCTACTGTTCCTGCATTAGGATTATCAAATAAAGCTGTGTTCCAGGGTAAGGCTCTGGTCTCAAATTATTCAACCTCTAGTGGTACCTAAAACCTAGTTACACGCTTGTATGGAATGTACCTAATGACTGCTGCAGCTGATTTTTTTTTTTTAAATCACAGTCAACACATCTATCTTCTCTCATCAGATTTTTGTGATAAGTGTATGAATGAAGACCACTGAAAATAGGAATAGCTTTCAGTCTTTCACAGAGCACTATAGTCACAGATAGGAACATAGGAAACTTGAGAATCTGTTGTGTAGTTCAAAAAGTTAACTAGGTCAAAGAAAATGGAAGGAATCTTAATGGAATTGACTAATGTTTTCAAGAGCTTATTTGGAAAAAAACTGGAGTGTACCTTTGGCTTTGGAATCACGTGGCCATAGCTTTGAAATACACCACCTTGAGGTGCCACTGCTTTCTTATGGGCAACATTAGTATTGAGACAGTATAAGAGATATAAAGACAGTGACTCCATTCATGGTGCTGATGTATTTCTTTAACCTAGGAGACATGACTTCTCAGCCTTCTGATGAAGAGGAGCTGTTAACTAGCACTGGTTTTGAGTATCACCAGGTGGCCTTTCAACCCTCCCTACTTACTGGTAAGAAATGATGAGAAGATGATTTAATAGAGTCACTAGTACACATGTATGGTACCTGTTGCTGATGACTTGAACAGGTGCTATAAAATTTAGTTTATTTGGCTAAAAATAGGAAAAAAAATCATTGCAATACTACAAATTTATTGTAGAACCTCCCACTGAGGATCATCTTCTGCAGAACACTTTGTGGCCTGAAATTCAAAAACTGTAAGTTAAATTATAGTTACCTCTCTGGTTTGATTCTGTCATAATTTGGGGATTTTTTCCCCCTACAATTTGATTTTCTCCTAACCTGCCCACATTCTCCTTCCTGCTCTACAGAACTTTCAGTAGCTCTTCAAACAAGTGAGAATCACAGCTTACATTGATGTTTATGATATTTAGTAGCTTTATTGGTCCTAAGTTTTAAAGTAGAAAAGCATAACTTTTTTTTCCTTTTTAAGTTTTGTTATGCTAACTGGTCTTTTTTGTTCTTGATAGTTCCCCATCATAACATTTCCTTGATTGTTTATTGTATTGTCTGAGGGCAGAAGGTGAAAACTTGTATCTTAATCTGATTATTTGAATGAGTTCTATTACTTTAGGGACTTGTCATTTTTCTCCAGTCTTCCTGTTTTTTCCCCAAAGTATTTACCTAGACAAAAATGTAGTGTTTGTTAAAAGAAATGTGTGTTGCTTGGGAGAATGATGTTATTCTTTTAATTTTTAAAAATGTTGCAGCATGAGATTAGGTATGTTTACTAATACAGAGGTTATTCATTTTGTCTTTAAATTTTAGATATGGACATGGTTATGAAATATTTTGTGTTGCTTGTAACAATTCAAAGACTCTGCTTGCTTCAGCTTGCAAGGTAGGAAGTTTTATTTTTGATTCTACTTCGTCACAGGTTATTTATGTCATTAGGCTTTTGCAAGTTTGGTAGAAATTTAGGCAGAACTCTACGTCAAAGGCCACTGGTGCCTGCTTTTCCTGAATCTTACTTTCTCTAATTCTCTCTCCCTTCTGTCCCTTTAAAAACTTGCAGTTACTTTTTAAATCTATTTTAGCTACACATTTTTGTTCTTTAGAGTCTACCCTTGAAGAATGCAGGGACTAGGGTGCTAACTCCTGTGCACAATTGAAAATCTGCATATAATTTTGTGTATGTGCAGGGGATGGGTGTTGCCAGGGATTGAATCAAGGGCATTATGCATGCTAGGCAGGTGCTTTACTGCTGAGCTATATCCCAGCCCCATCACATATGACTTAACTCCTTATAGTAATAAAAGGACATGGCTATGAAGTTACTAGAGTAGTATAGTAATTATGTAATAGACGTGATATATTTTATGGTAGTAATGAATGATAAAATAATCCATTACCTACATATATTATGCATTTGTGGCATAACTTTTTTTTAACTTTAATTTTTTTGTTCTTTTTAGTTATACATAACAGTAGAATGTATTTGACATATTATACACACATGGAGTATAACTTCCCATTCTTTTTTCTTTTAAATTGTTGATAGACCTTTATTGTTTTCATATGTGGGGCTGAGAATTGAACCTAGTGCCTCACACGTGTGAGGCAAATGCTCTACCACAGAGCCACAACCCCAGCCCTAACTTCCGATTCTTGTGGTTGTACATGATGTCATAAATGAATGTAGGAAAATTATGTATGATTCATTCTACTGTCTTTTTTTTGGTACCAGGGATTGAACTCAGGGCACTCAATCACTGAGCCACATCCCCAGCCCTATTTTGTATTTTATTTAGAGACAGGGTCTCACTGAGTTGCTTAGTGCCTCACCATTGCTGAGGCTGGCTTTGAACTGTTGATCCTCCTGACTCAGCTTCCCAAGCCACTGGGATTACAGGTGTGCGCCAACGTGCCTGGCCTCATTCTACTGTCTTTCCCGTTCCTATTCCCTTTATTCCCCTTTGTCTAATTCATTGAACTTCTATTTCCCTGCCTTATTGTGTGCTAGCATCTGAATATCAGAGAGAATATTCGGCCTTTGGTTTTAGGGGATTGGCTTATTTCATTTAGCATGGTAGTCTCCAGATCCATTCATTTTCCAACAGATGTCATAGAGTCATTTTTTATGGTTGAATAATATTCCATTGTGTAAATATATCACATTTTCTTTATTTGTTCATCTGTTCAAGGGCACCTAGGTTGGTTCCACAGCTTAGCTATTGTGAATTGAGCTGCTATCAACATTGATGTGGCCATGTCACTGTAGTGTGCTGATTTTTTTTAAAAATATTTTTCTAGTTGTAGATGGACACAGTACTTTTATTTGTTTATTTTTTATTTTTTATGTGGTGCTGAGGATCAAACTCAGTGCCTCACACACACCAGGCAAGTGCTCAACCACTGAGCCACAACCCCAGCCCTAGTGTGCTGATTTTAAGTCGTTTTGTGCTCTGATTTTAAAGTCTTTTGAAAACATTCCAAGTTTTCTGAGAATTTCCATACTGCTTTCCATAGTTGTTGTACCAATTTTCAGTCCCACCAGCAATGTATGAGTGTACCATTTCCCCCACATCCTTGCCAATATTTATAGTTGCTTGTATTTTTTTAATATTTATTTTTTAGTTGTAGTTGAACACAATACCTTTATTTTATTTATTTATTTTTATGTGGTGCTGAGGATCGAACCCAGGGCCTCACACGTGCTAGGCAAGTGCTCTACCGCTGAGTCACAATCTCAGCCCCATGTTGCTTGTATTCTTGATAATTGCCATTCTGACTGGAGTGAGATGAAATTTTAATTTGCATTTCTGTAACTGTTAGAGATGTTGAACATTTTTTCATGTATTTGTTGATTGATTGTAGTTCTTCTATAAAGTGTCTATTCAATTCCTTTGCCCATTTATTGATTTTTGATTTTTAAGACATGCCAAACCATTTTCCCAAGTGGTTTTACATTTTACAGTCCCACCAGCAGTGTATTGGCTTTCCAGTTGTTCTTGGTAGAGCCAATCCTTTTACCTTCAACCTTTCTAGTATGTGTATAATAGTTCAGTGTGGCTGCAATTTGCATTTCTTTAATGACTGTTGATATTAATCATTTTTTCATGTGCTGATTTCTCATCAATATTATCTCCTTTGGTAAACTATCTCTTCATATTTTCTGCCTATTTCTTTGTTAGATTGTTTGTATTACTGAGTTTTAAAAGTTTTTTATATATGTTGGATATAACTTTATCAGATATGTACTATATTGGTAAGTTTTCCTAGTAGCTTTTCTTTTCATTTTCCTAACGATGTCACTCAGAGAGCAGAAGAGCTTGTGTTTTCGTGAAGTCTAGTTTATCATTTTTTTCTCTATTGGGTAATCTTTGTCATGTACTGAAGAAATCTTTGCCTAACCAAGCTCATAAAGATTTTCTGTTACATTTTGTTCTCAGAACTTTATTGTTTTTAAATTTACATTTAAATCTAATGAGATATTTTAAAATAATTCTTCAATTTGGCATGGAGTACAGATTAAAGTTGATTTTCTTTGTTGATATAATATGTAGTTGGTCCAGCATCATTTGCTAAGGAGACTGTCCCTTTGCCCCTGTACTGCTTTTTTCCCCTGTCCATTTACATATGAGGGCCTGTTTCTAGGCTTTGTTCAGTTCCATACATCTGTGTTGTTGTGATGCCAATTCTCTCAGTGACTGCTGTTTTTTTTTATAGTACATCTTCTAACTCTTTTTGTACTCTATTTTGGTTATTCTAGGGCCTTTAATTTCCATTTCAAAAACAGTTTGACAGTTTCTACAAAAAATGCAGGAATTTTGATGGGCATTGCATTGAATCTATTGGGAAGAATTTGGGGATAATTTTAACAATACAGAGTTATTTATTTATTTATTTATTGTACTGAGGATTGGATCAGGGATGCTTAATCATTGAGCCACATCCCCAGCATTTTTAATTCTTTATTTTGAGACAGGGTCTTGCTAAGTTGTTTAGGGCCTTATTAAGTTTCTGAGGCTGACTTTGAACATGTGCTCCTCCTACCTTAGCCTCCTGAGCCATTGGGATTACAGGCATGCTCCACCATGCCCAGCTCAATATTTAGTATTTTAACATGTGAATGAGATAAGCCTCTTGTTTATTTAGGCCTTTATATTTCTCTTACCAAGTTTCCCCTGTTTCACCATGTTAATATCTTAAAAGGAATATTTGTAGTTTTCAGTGTTAGGTCTTGCACATATTTTGTCAGATATATTCTTTTTTATATACTTTATATTATTGCTGATAATATGTGGAAATATAGTTGCTTTTTGTATATTGAGCTTATGTCCCACAACTTTGTTGAACTCGTTTATTTATTACTATTTCTAGTAATTTTATTTTAGATAAGGTAGGATTTTCCACATAGATGCTTATGTTGCTTATGAATGAAAAAAGTTTTATTTCTTCCTTTTCTATATCAATGTTTTAAAGTTTATAGAAACAGTGACCACAGAGATCATAATCTTGGTCTCCATATCAAGAACAAAACATTTAGTCTTGGTCCATTAAAAATGATGTTTGCTGTAGCTTTTTCATGGCTTTTATCTGGTTGCAGACATTCCCTGCAGTTCTGGTTTTCTGAAAGTTTTTATTAGAAATGGATGCTAGATTTTGTCAATTTTTTTCCTTCATCTATCTCTTTTTTTGTTTATCAATTACATTGAATGATTTATAAAATGATAAAATAATTTTGTATTCCTAGAATCAAACCCCACTTCTTCTTAATGTTTTGTCTTTTTATATGTTGTTGGATTCAATTTATTACAGTTGTTAAAAACTTTTAATAGTTCTTTTTTTTAAGTTTTTCAATATATATTTTTAGTTATTGATGGATCTTTATTTAATTCATTTATTATTATGCAGTGCTGAGAATCGAACCCAGTGCCTCACACATGCTAGGCAAGCACTCTACCATTGAGCCACAACCCCAGCCCAATAACTTTTAATAGTTCTTGAGGGGTATTGCTCTGCAGTTTTTGTTCATCATAATGGTCTCTTCAAGTTTTGGTCTTAGAGTAATGCTAGCCTCATGCAAGCGTCTCCTCTACACTTATCTTAAATTGTTTTTGTAGAATTTCTGTTATACATTTTTAAAAAAAGTTTTCATAGAATTCCCAGGTAAATCCAGCTGACTCTGGTTTTTTATGAAAAGGTTTTTAACTATATGTAATTCCTTTAATAGATATAAATAAGGCTATTTAGGTTTTCCGAGTTTTCTTGAGTTCATTTTTGTAGTATATGTCTTTCAGAAAATATGTCCCTTCATCTGAGTTGTCAGATTTACTGACATGATTATTCATATTATTCCTTTATGATACATTTAATATCTGTAGTAATGTTACCTTTCTTTTTTTTTTTTTTTTTTTTTTACATGTGAAATAGCATTCTTTATTGCTTCTTGGATACATGGAAATGAATACATTAAAAAGTTCATTTTTAGTTTTGTTTTTGAAACAAACTTTTCCTTCACTGCTCACCCAAATCACACGACTTTGTGGTGCATCTCTTGTCTTTGTCTGTAACTATTTATTCGTATCTCCTATTAGCCTCTCTTACCTGTGCTCTTACTTCATTTCAAACTTCCTTTCACCATCTCTGAAGGTCTAGCGCATTTCTATTCTTGAACTAGCTTTTCTTTTTTTTTTTTTATTGGTTGTTCAAAACATTACAAAGCTCATGATATATCATCTTTCATACATTTGACTCAAGTGGGTTATGAACTCCCATTTTTACCCCAAATACAAATTGCAGAATCACATCGGTTACACACTCTCATTTTTACATAATGGCATATTAGTGACTGTTGTATTCTGCTACCTTTCCTATCCCCTACTATCCCCCCTCCCCTCCCCTCCCATCTTACCTTTCTTATTTCTGCACTTGGTGATTTGTGACTTTAAAACTCCTCTCCACACACCTCCCCCCAGCTTTTTGTGGTTGTTTTGTTTTGATTTTTTTAGTGTTCCTGCTGTCAGAAAAGTCTTGTTTCTCTTTTAGTATTCAGTGATAATAATGGTGGATAAAGAATTCTTGGTTTAGAGTTGTTTTTTTCTCTTCAATACAGTAAAGATGTTGCACCATTTTCTTTTGGCTTGTGTTGTTTCTGATGAGAAGTCTGCTTTATTTTTTCTTTGTTTTATAATGTTTTTTTCCCCTCCAGCTGTTTTTATAGTTTAATATTTGTTGCTAGTTTTAAATAATTTTGTTATTGTTGGTATAATTTTCTTCATGTGTCTTATGCTTGGGTTTTATTGAACTTAATGGATCTGAAAGTTTGTTGTTTTCATCAAGTATGGGAAATTTTTAGCCCTTATCTTTTCATGTGTGTTTTTGTTCTCATGCTTTTGGAAACTCCAGTTATATTTGGCTGATGTAGTTGTTGAATGATTCAATAATGCTCCTTGTTTTTTCCCCTCTCTGTGATTCATTTTCTCTCTCTGGGATAGTGTTCTTTGTTGCCAAATATTTATTATTTTGGAATGCTGTCATTTCCTGTATTTTGTCTAGCTTTTTTTTTTTTTTCACCCAAGAGTAAATCTGCACACCTGTAATCCCAGTGGTTTAGGAGGCTGAGGCAGGAAAATCATGAGTTCAAAGCCAGCCTCAGCAACTTAGTGAGGGCCTAAGCAAGTCAGTGAGAACTTGTCTCAAAATAAGATAATATAAAAAAGGGCTGGGATGTGGCTCAGCGGTTAAGCACCCCTGTGATCAATTTTCAGTACAAAAAAAAAGTAAATCTAGTCCTTCTTACTCTATATTCATTAGAAGTGGAAGTCTCCAAATGGTTAATTACAAAGTTAATACATATATTTATTTTACTTGTAACAAATTAAAACATGATTACAGCATTGGTTTAACCTTTCTAATCCTAATTTCCCTCTCTTTCTAATTTCCCTCTCTTTCTAATCCTAATTTCCCTCTTTTTTCCCAGAGATTAGCCTTCATTGTTAACCTGCTAAGAGTTGTTTTTTTTTTCCACATTTAACCAAGTACATAAAATATATTCATAAAAACAATATGTTACTTTAAAAAATGTTTTCTTTTTTGTTTATTTCTGCTTAAACAACTTCATTGTTTCATCTCTTTATAGGCAGCCAAGAAAGAACATGCGGCTATCATTCTTTGGAACACTACCTCTTGGAAGCAGGTTCAGAATTTAGTTTTCCACAGTTTGACTGTCACGCAGATGGCCTTCTCACCAAATGACAAGTTCTTATTAGCTGTTTCCAGAGATCGAACCTGGTCATTGTGGAAAAGACAGGATACAGTCTCACCTGAGTTCGGTAAAACATGTTGTGATTGGGAATGCTATTAGTAAAACAGTTATGTCTATTTTATCCATGGTAAGCAGCTACTGGGTTAAGACAAATAGATAATAGGGCAAAGACAGAGTCTAATGAATGTGAGTTCTCAGATGACTGAGGAAGACCTGGTTTTGCATGTCATATCTAAATTCTTACTTCTTTGGGACTTTGTAGTCAGATGGCAGGGTTCAGACATTGCAGTTAAAGAAACAAAATCTGTATGGAGAAAGTTAATTTTTGTAAGTGGTCATAGATTACTGCCACAAAACCAGGTAGATGACATTCTGAGCTTAGATTTTATTGAAATGAAATAATGAAGGTACTTCTAAGAAACTTGGAATTGAGTGGTTTCTGTTTTCTTTATGAACTGTCTTATGAATATAATAATATTTTAAATTATGAAACTTAGAGGTACCATTATCTTTGGCCTTTTCCTGCCCTTCCCTGCCACTTTGATCGTTAGGAGGGGTTTGGTAGGCTTCTGTGAATTACATGACCCTGGGCAATATCTTAACCCACCTACCCACAATTACTGTAAGATTTGCATAGATTTTAAAAAGAAAAGGAATAATAATAATAATAATAAAAGCTTTGTGTCATTGCATCAGTGTCCTATAATATTCCCTGTTTTCTTTGGGGGGTTCATTTTAGAGGGTGTTAAAGTGTATTTGTATTTTTAATCGTATTATTTTCCATGGATATATGACTTGCATACAACTTGATTTTGTGATACTTCTAGTCTCTTAGTTTCTTATATCTCAGAGAATATCCAAGACATATAAGACATGCTTATAGGATGGGTTAAAACAGCTAATTGGTACTTGACTTACCATGGTTCGATGTAGGGTTTTTTGATTTTACAATGGTGCACAAATGATTTAGGTGATTTTTTTACATTATGTGATTTTTACATTTGATAGAACCCATACTTTTAATTTTGAGTTTTGATCTTTTCCTGTGCTAGCCATATGGAGTGTGATGCTGGGCAGTGGCAGCAAGCTACCAGATAGCTGCTGCATGATTACAAAGATAAACAGCTCTCATTCTATACCATATTGTGTTGCTAAGATATAATGTTTGGTAGGTTGGGTGTATTAAATGCATTTTCAACTCAATCTTTTCAGTTTAAGGTAGCTTCATCAGGACATAATACATTTGTAAGTTGAGAAGCGTATATATTTTCTTTTGCCTCACTAGTGATTTATTTCCTCACATGCAGCATGTGTTTTTTTTTTTTAAAGTTAAAATGTTATTAATAATACACGTATTAATTTTTTGTATCTTTGTGGATTATAGATTAATAGATCTACTCTCCTTCCCTCCTCCTGAGCAGTTACATGTTTTAGGTCTAGTCCATATAAGGGCTAATTTCATTAACATTTAAACGTTACATGAAAAGTGTTTTTTTTAGCTCTTCCTTTTTTAAGAACATTAATTCTTTTTTTTTTTTTTTTTTTTTTAATGCTGGGATTCAATCCAGCCCCTTATGCATGTGAGGCAAGCACTCTACCAACTGAGCTATATCCCCAGCCAAGAACGTTAATCTTTTTTTTGCAAATCTGGCTACTTGCAGAGTAAGGATGCATTGCTTCTGGCTTCTTCCATGGGCATACATTGAACTTTTAGTTATTGTTTGGAAGAAGTTTGTTGTTAGTCACTAGAATACTAGTCAGTATAAAAGCATCTCCTGCTCGAAAAACAGCAGCATGCCACAGCCTTCTGCTGAGCTCTCAGTTGCCTGGCCAAAAGTGAGAATATGTAAATAGATTACTGAATTGCATGATATATTTGGTACTTAAACATGAACTTTCTAAAAATTTAAAAAACAAAAACAAAAACAGCTTTCTGTGCTTTGTGAGTGAGTGATGGTTACATATTTTTTTCAGACCCAATTTTCAGTCTCTTTGCATTCACCAACAAAATCACTTCTGTGCACAGTAGAATTATTTGGTCTTGTGACTGGAGTCCTGATAGCAAGTATTTCTTCACCGGGAGTCGGGACAAAAAGGTAATTTTTAAAAAATCTAATATTCTTTGAAGTGTAAAATAACATTTTTATAAGTATGTTTGAATTTTTAAAAAATCACATAATCTTGCCTTTCTGATACAACTTTTAAAAATCAGATTATTTTGTGTTTTTTATATACATACATGATAAAAGCTTTAAAAAAAAACTTGTTGCATTCTGTAAATACTTGCTCTGGAATATCAAAAATATGAAAAGAAGACCTTTCAGACACTTGACCTTCATCAAATATCCCCAGTGGGAGAAAAATAATAAATTGAACGAATCAAGTCTAAGAAACTAGGGGCACAGGAGAGGGAAGGAGGGAACATACGTGGAAAAAAGTTTTTAGTTTTTCTGATTCATACTTCCATGAACCTAAACATTTTTCTATAATGAATTATTATGGTCCTTTTATTCAGTGATAAAAGAGGGGCAGAATGTGACCCAAACTTGGAAAAAACAAAAAACAAGCTATATGTTCTTTTTTTTTTTTTTAATAATTTATTTTTTGGTTATAGGTGGACACAGTGTCTTTATTTTATTTTTATGTGTGCTGAGGATTGAACCCAGTGCCTCACACATGCTAGGCGAGCACTCTACCTCTGAGCCACAGTCCCAGCCCTGCTATATGTTCTTGAATGTGACCTTTACCTTTGTCTTCTGGAAAATTTCCACCTGGCCTCCATTCTTTCCTTTTTTTTTTTTTTTAATCTTTAAATTGTCCTCTCCTTTTTCTGCACTCCTACAGACTGGAAGTGGTGAAGCAGCTTAGTGCTTTCTTTCCTCTCCTGCCCTCTACAGTCATAGACATGAAACAAATTACTGAAGCAGAGAATTGGCACGGACATGATGTCACTCACGTTAAATACTTCAGCATCAGCCACTCAAGCATCTTTCTCCAGATCACTACTTCTGTTCATTTGCCTGTTCCTCTCTTCCCTGGTGTTTATTTGCCTGTGCTATGCTGGATGCTGAGGAATCAGGGCTGCTTCTACCCTCCACAGACACACTTAGTAGATGATCCAGCCATAGCTCTCACATGTATCAGAGCTGCCAAGCAGCATTCATTGCACCTTCTCAGAAACATATTTCTACTTTTGGTCAGAGCTTGCTGCTCAGAATCTTGCTTTGGACCTGCAATTTGCAACTATTGTTCATTTCACTCCCCTTTCCTTTTCTTCGTGACTGTTCATACACCCTTAGGCATGAGCTTCCAGGGAATCCCCATTTCTTTTGAGGGGTACCATCAAGGCTAAGTCCTCCTGATCTCTGAGTTCATTCTCAGATGCAGAATGAAGGGCTAGAGAATTGATAAGTCTTCATAAATTTTGTGGTTACTTCTCGGGGAAGTGTTTATGCCCTCTCAGTAACGACATGACTGGTGGAATTTCACTGGATCAGAACTGATTTGTGAGTATAAAGACATATTAGACACCTCCACGATCCCTGGGCAGGACAGTCCATCTGTAGACCAACACACTTAGTTGAAGTCTCAAAGACTGGGGTCTGCTGCACTGTGTCTGTGATTCTGGAAATGCTCTGAAGTTCTGGAACATCAAGCACAAATATAAATGCTGAGTTTTTTAAACACCAGAGGAAATGTGTTTCACTATTCATACCATCAGAATTCTAATACATTGCTAGAAGTCTTGCAAAAAGAAAACTTTAACTAATGTGACCTGTCTGTTAGGTGGTTGTCTGGGGTGAATGTGACTGTGGTGATGACTGCATTGAACACAGCATTGGCCCCTGCTCCTCTGTCCTGGACGTGGGTGGGTCTGTGACAGCTGTCAGTGTCTGCCCTGTGCTTGACTCTTCTGGAAGGTTAGTCGCTGTGGTGGAGGGGCTTGGTTTTATATTTCCTTGAAGGGGATTTTTTTCAATATCATTTCAATTGTCATTTTAATTCATGGGTTCTCTTTGCTTCTGAGTTGCTGTTATTTTTAAGATGCTTATGTTTCTCATAAAATTTTTAAATTGATAGAACTCAGTGATTGGTAAAATACACATTAGGACTGTGACTCTAAGGGTTTTTATTTCACTGATAACAGGACTGTAGTGCCTTCTCTGTAACAAGCATCTTCAGTAGAACATGGGTTCCTACACCCAGTTTGGAAAACACTGGCTCATGGGCTTTGCCATCTTGAAGCAGAGTTAAACCTGTGTGCTCTTTCTGTAGAGAAGGGCTCCTTGAGGACACAGTACAGCAACACATTGTATCTTGAGTGGGCACCTTTAAACAGAGTCCTTTATAAGCCAGGGACAGTTTGGGATACTGTGAAGAGCTGCTTTAGAGTGATAGTGGAGATAACAGGAATGGAATTCATGCCGAATTAATCACTGTCATCCTCCTCCCTTAACAACAGATACGTGGTTGCAGTTGGATTAGAGTGTGGAAAGATTTGCTTATACACCTGGAAAAAGACTAATCAAGTTCCAGAAATAAATGACTGGATTCGTTGTATTGAAACAAGTCAAAGGTATTGTCTCATATTTGCTTCCATCAGATTTAGTAGAAATTACAGGGTTTTTAGTGGCAAATTTTATGCCACATTTCCATGGAGAGGAATAAAAACCTCTATGGTGTTTACCACTGAGTAGTACTTCTGGAAATTAATGTTTGTTATTATATTGGACTTTTTTTTTTTAAGTTTCCTTGATCAGATTGCCTGTTTACATGATATTGTGTTAACAAATAGCAACCATTTGAGATGAAAGTGGATTTAAAAAATTTTTTTTTGTTTTGTTTCTGGTGGTGCTAGGAGTAGAACCCAGGGTTTTGCACATGCTGGGCAAGTGCTTTACTGCTGAGCTACATCCCTAGACCCCCAAATAGTTTTCCTAATAATGTCTTTTAGAATTTCACTATACAGATTTTTTAGTAAAATTTGATACAAAATGTTTGTGATGTTTAGAAATATTACAGATTGTGCTTTGGTAGTCATGTCTTTATAATTGAAACTATATTGCCTATTCCATAATGGAGCAACTGCAGGTGCCCCACAGAATCCCATGACTTGCTTTCAACCACTGCAAGGGCTTCCTGAGCACAGGCCTTTACCAGCTGTGCACATGTAAACACCTGCTGTTTATAGCCACCTTCCTACACCTAGTCACCTAGATAGCAGAGAAAAATTTTAACTACTTTAAACCCATATTAGCCCTTAAAAATGTCTATACTTTCAATAAGTTACTGTCATTTTGTATCACATTTTGGTAGGATTCTTCAACCTTCATATATTCATACTGTCCTAAATATAATATCAAATACAACTTCAAATGACAGTATTGTGTTGAGGGTAGATGGCTTAATGGAGAGAAATTGTGAGCCTGTCTTTTACAAGATATTATATCTGGTGGAGCTTGTCTCCATGTCAGCCAAACATGTTAGTGCTCCTTCTCAATTGCATTTGTTAAAATGAGATTATGCCTTTTTTATCATATTCCTGGGCCTTCTCTCCCATCTCTCACGCTGATGTTAGCAGTTGACACAGTTCATGGTATTGGTTTGCTCAAGAGAGAAGAAATGCAGTGAAATTTGAAACTTTGAAATTTTCTCTTTTTCTAGGCTGCCCTCCCATCCCTTTTTCTTCTTTCGCCTTGCCTGTCCACTGCCTCTGACCTGGTACCCAGACCACTTCCAGGGCCCCAAGGTGGGACACTGGCAGGAAACTCCTTAGAAAGCACAGAAAGGGGATGTGTGTAGAATTTGGGGTTTTTTTCCCCCAAGATTTTTTTATTCATCAGTACAGTGACTTAAATTTGCAAGGTAGACTAATTCTTGACTTAATAATTGTATTGTTTGGATTGATATTCCAGTTACTAAATTTCAAGTTTTTGCTGGTAACGATATTCAAAGTAATATAAGCAACATTATCTTTTTGTTTGATACTGGGAATTGAACCCAGGAGTGTTTAACTACTGAACCACATCCCCAGCCCTTTTTTGTCTCTTATTTAGAAACACGGTCTCACTGAGTTGCTTAGAGCCTTGCTAAGTTGCTGGAGCTGGCTTTGAACTTGCTGCCTCAGCCTCCCAAGCCACTGGGATTATAGGCATGTGCCACCATACCTAGCAAGCCACATTGTCTGGGTTGGCTCTCCAGACTCCTTATCTTTTATTTTAAATTATTTTTTTGTGGTGCTTAGAATTAAACACAGGGCCTTAAGCATGTTGGGCAAGTGCTGTACCACTGAGCTTCTGCATCCCCAGGCTTCTATATCTTTTAAATGTGATATGTTAACATGTTAGGTTTAAAGGAAAATACCAAAAGAAAAAAGAAGCACATCATCTTATATAGCCAAATAAGTATAGTCCATCAAAATAATTCTCCTGAGAAGAAATATGTATGTTTCTTTCAGTGATGACATTTTTTTCATTCTTTTAATGAAATGAGATTACTTTAATATTGATCAATAATAAATGAGATTCCATTGATGTTGCTGTCACTTAAAATGGTTTTGAAATTGTATTCAGAACAAGAGAATCTGTGATACAAGTAAATCACTTATAACATTATACCTTATATATATTATATTTTTTTTACTATTAAATTTTTATAACTTTATTTTATTTATTAATTTTTATGTGGTGCCAAGAATCGAACCCAGGGCCTTACACGTGCAAGGCGAGTACTCTACCACTGAGCCATAATCCTAGCCTCTATACCTTTTATATTATTACTTATTTAAATCTTTTACTTCTTTTTTAAGCTTGCCATTCATATTTATAAAGCTTGGTATTTGTATTTAAGCCTCCCATTCAGATTTATTTGCAAAACTCACCTCCCAGTCACTTAGCTGCTTTCAGTAATCAAATTCATCCTCAAAGGAAGATGAGCTTTCAGTGAGTACACAGGTCAGTCTCCATATTATGAAGCATATCTTCTAGAAGATCTCAGAAAGCACTGAGGTCAGTGGCATTATTAGACTAACCACTTGCAGAGCCCACAGTCATTTGGTTGCCTAAGTTCTGGTGGGCTTATATGAAAAAATGTCTTTCATTACTTTGAAGTTGTACTTCATTTTTACAGCATCTGAATGTGAATTTGTGTGCTCTTGTATTGTTTTCAATATTCACTGCCTTAAAACCTATTTAGGTTTTTCACTTTATTTCTTTTTGGTTTTAGGTTCTACTTGGTAGGTTAAATTTATCAAGGATATTTCATTTTCACAGTGATTTTAATCTATGTTTGATAACATTCTAGATCTGCCTTTTGAGGGACCCATATGGGATGGGTAGGGAGCATTAATATGATCATGACCAACTTCATGCAATTGGAGGGCATGTTGAAAACCATTTTATTATTATTTATTATTATGCAGGTCATTGTCTTTCTTTACCCAATAATAAAAATATGAGTAAAAGTCCCTCCATTTGTCAGGGATGTCAAAAGGATAATCTAGAATATATTGCAAAGTTGAAATTTTAAAAAAAAAATTACTTGCGGTAATGTTATTTGAAAGACTGACTTTAATAGTCCTTTCATGAATTTTACTAATCATTAAAACATTTGACAGAAATTCATTGTCTGTTTCTTATTCTTTTTGGTGATATCATTGGCCAGTAAGTAAGACTATGTTTTAATAATTTTAGTCTGACTGATTATTTATTTTTATGTGTTGCTGAGGATTGAACCCAGTGCCTCACACGTGCTAGGCAAGCACTCTGCCACTGAGCTTCAGCCCTGGCCCTAGTCTGACTGATTTTTAATAATTTTTATTGGAAGACTATAATCATATATAATAACGGATTTGTTGTCACATATTTGTATGTGCACACAATATAATTTGGTCAATTTAATGTGACATGGTGGTTGAGTACTTATCTAGCATGTGCAAAGCTCTGGGTTTGATCCCCAGCACTGCAAAAAAAGAGTAAGCAGATTAAGATATTTTTTAAGTTAAAAATAAAATTGCTAAAATATTAGTGAGGTATTTAAAAACATGTACATTTAATTTTCAAATTTTATTTTCATTTATGTAAGAGTATACTAATTAAATTAACATGTGGGTGAGTACCCACTTGTTTTAGTCAGCTGTTTTGCTGCTGTGACTAAAAGAGGAAAAGTTTAAGGGCTCACAGACAGAGGTCTTAATCCATAGAAGGCCGGCTCCATTCTTTGGGACTCCAAATGAGACAGACATCATGGTGGAAGAATCTGGCAGAGGGAAACAGGTCACATGTTGATCAGGAAGCAGAGAGAGAGAGAGTCTCCACTTTCCAGATAAAACATATATACCCCAAAGCCACTCCCCCAAGTCCCACCTCCTGCATCCACAGCCTACCACTTCAGTTATCACGCAGTTAATCTCTAACAGGGGATTAATTCACTGGTTGGGTTGAGATGCTTATAATCCAATCATTTCTCCTCTGAACCTTCTTGCATTGTCTTACACGTGAGCTTTGGGGGGATACTTCACATTCAAACCATAGCACCAGTAAAATATTCTGTAGTCATGGCATACATTAATTTTATGATTTCTTTATCTTGGTTTTAGCCAAAGTCATACCCTTGCTATCAGAAAACTGTGCTGGAAGAATTGCAATGGAAAAGCCCAGCAGAGTGAAGGAGAAGGTGCTGACTGGTTACACTTTGCGAGCTGTGGTGAAGATCACACTGTGAAGATATACAGAGTTAACAAATGTGCACTGTAATGGGCTTCATTATCACATGCTTACAATCATTGGTGTCTTAAAATGTTTATCATGTAAATAGATCACCTTTCTTTACCTTCACAATTGAATCAAGTTTCATTTTTAAGTCTGAAAGCAGTCCTTATTTAGGTCCTAGATCCTTTGAAATTGATGAAAGCTGTACATCCCTTTCCTTGTTATAAAATTTATATGTATATTTACACATACCTAAGACCTTTATTCATACTTTCAGAGATTCTTGGATCTACTTTCCATAAGTCCCAGATTAAGAACATCTGGGGCCTGAAGTTGTGGCTCAATGGTAGCGCGCTTGCCTAGCATGTGTGAGGCACTGGGTTCGATCCTCAACACATCCAAATAAGTAAAATAAAGATCCATCAACAACTAAAACAAATATATTAAAAAAAAAGAACAACAGCTATACTTGATCACATTTGCCTGGTTTTGTGTTATTTTGGGGCCTTTTCATTTACCCCTCTGAATCTGTTTTGTGTTGCTGTAACAAAATGCCTGGTGCTGGGTACTTTAAAAGAGGCTTATTTAAATCAGAGTTCTGGGATTCCAAGAACATGGTCCTGAGATCTGCTTGGCTCTGGTGAAAGCTTCATAGCAGATGGAATAATAATGGTGGGAGTGTATATGGAAGAAAGAGGTCATTTGTTGAGGCAGACAGAAAGGGAGATTCAAGGAAGGTGCCAGACTTGCTTGTAACAACCCAATCTCATGAGAATACACTCGAGTGAGAATGTTCTCCTGTTAGAAAAGTATTATTCTCACCTGCCACTTGGCCCCACCTCATAAAGGTTTCAGCACCTCTCAACACCACCACCCTGGGGACCAAGCCCCCAGCACATGAACCTGTGGGGAACACATTGGAATCATATCTAAACCATGCATCCTCTTTGGGATACATCATATTTATTACCTTCTTCAGAAGGTAGACATAGAAAATAAAAAGAGACTAAATCCAGATTGTTCAATTTTTAACATTTTTTTGTAAATAAACATACCACACCCAGTGTGCTAACTTGGACTTGACCCTTTCTTCCTAGTATACACCAGTTATTCTAGGAATTTGGCAAGCAGTCATAAGTTTGAACTACAGCCAATCCTTTATTCTTTAAAGGTACGTAAGTTCTGCTTTTGTGGGTTTACTTAAAGTAGAATATTTGGACATTTAAACTTACAGATTTAGGTTTTGAAAAATAGAGTTCTGAATCATCTGAATGTATACAGTAGCTGAAGCCACGAGAGGGTAGAATATTTGTGCCTTGGGGAGGATGCTGAGGGAGGACAAGGGTGCCAGAAATGATCTTGGAGTGCCAGCTGAAGGTTAGAGGCAGGCCAGGACTGTGAGATATGAGGATGGGGGCTTGAGTCTAGCCTTGTTGGAACATAGAGTCATCAGGCAAATTCAGTATGTTGAAAAAAGGAAGGTGAGAATTTTGTGCCATTGTTTAATATGATATTTTGCTTTCAAAGGTGTTCAGTTGTGTTTTCTAGATGGAGACTTTTAGGCCTGTGCTATACAATATTTCTAGTTCAATAGTGAGCTACATATGTAATTTTAAACATATATAGCCACATAATAAATGGAAACAGGTGAAGTTTATTTTAATATTAAATTTACTGTAATACAATATATACAAAACATACTGTTGACCCTCTCTATCCATGGGTTCCACATAACATGGATTCAACCAACCACGGATTGAAAATAGTAGGAGGAAAAATTGCATCTCTTCTATGCTTGTGCAGACTTGTCTTGTAGTTATTCCTTAAAAAATAAAGTGTAACAACTATTTACATAGCATTTGCGTTGTGTTAGGCATTGTAGGTAATCTTCAAGTAATTTACAGTATGCAGGAGGTTATATTCAAATATAGTACCATTGTATATAAGGGACTTGAGCATCTTTGAATTTTGGTATCTGCTGAGGTTCTGGAACCAATCCTCCACATATACTGAAGGGCAATTTTATAATCACATAAAAATTATTTATGAACTATTTTATACTAGGGGTCTGTCTCAGTGCAAACGAGCCACATTTCAGGTGCTCCATAGCCACATGTAACTAGAGGCCATCCATTCTTGGACAATGTAGTTCTAGTCTATTTTCATCTCTACAAACTTGCCTTATACCCTCAGCTCTGTGTGTGTGTGAGAGAGAGAGAGAGAAAAAGAGAGACCAGAATACCCTGCCCTGCAAGATGCCATTTCTGTTCTTGTTCACTGAAGAATTTTTATCTGCATTGTCTCATAGGGCTTTGTTCTGACCTAAGTGCACACACAATTCCAGAGCAGATTCAGTGAACTAACTTAGGCTTTTAGAACCTTTAACAGCCCAGAACTCAACACCTTAAGGTTACCTGAAAGTAGGCCTTGCCTTCCAGAGACTGAGTTTCAAAGCTGACAATTTTCCAAAGTTGTACTGAAGCATCTTCCTCAGTAATCACGTGTGTAATTCCGGTTAGTAAGCATTCAGAGGACTTGCTATGCACTGGGGCAGTCTGCATAATAATTCATGTGAATTCTACACACTCATGTCAATCTACTAATGACCACCTTTTGAATCATATTGCAGTAATTTGTAATATCTAAAGCAAAAAGTTTGGAAACTTCACTCTGGAGGAACTGAGGTGTATTCTAGAATCCCCAGCCTGTACTTCCTCTTATCTCTCTCTCCTTTCTTAGCTTAATTTACAGCATCAAATTTCAGATTAATGCCAAGCACCAGACTAAGCATTGCTGTTTTCTGACCTATGCAACTTTCCTAGATAGAGGAGAGGTGTTTGGATTGTTTTGAGTGTCTGTTTGCTTTGGACAGCCAGCAACCAAATCACGTCTCAGTAATTTCAGAGGAAAGTGGAATTGATTATTAAGTCCAAATGGAGAATGTGGGAATTGGAAAAGGAAAAGCACAGAATCATTTGTGGCAGCATGAGCAAATCCTGGGTTGTCTGTAATAAGACCCTATTGCTAACCTGCTTTCAGTCCCTGCTGAGCTGTATTTTAAAGGTAGAAAGGGAGAGAGCTTCTGAATGAAATTTTCTTGGACAGCTCTTAAGCTTGATAGAGTTACCTGGCAGGCCGGTTCAAAACTGATTGCAGCCAGTCTTGGTGATGCATGCCTGTAATCCCAGCAACTCTCAGGAGGCTGAGGCAGGAGGAGGATCACAAGTTTGAGGTCAACTTCAGCAATTTAGTGAGGCCCTAAGCAACTTAGGAAGACTCTGACTCAAAATAAAAAAAAAATAAAAAGGGCTAGCCATATAGCTAAGTGATAAAGCACTCCTGGGTTCAATCCTCAGTACCAAAAAGCAACAAACAAAACAAAGAAAAAGAAAAAGCTGATGGCTGGGCCCCAGCCCCCAGCCCCAGGGTTCTGCATTCACTGTCAAAGAGAGGGCTTGAAGATTTGTATTTCTCTCTAGTTGCAAGTGTCAGCAGACTGGCAACTGGAGTGTCAGGACAACCCCATAATTCTCAGGCCTCAAGCCAAACCTAGTAAATATTGATCTCCAGGGGTAGTGTCCAAGAATCTTTTTCAACAGACTTTCAGGCAACTGGATACACCCAAAAGCATGAGAAGCACTGTAACACAACTTGTAATCTGCTAGAACACACTACAACATCATGTTTTGACCACTGCCTCTCATCACTCCTCTGGATGGGGTCACTATCCTGGAATCTTTTCTGTTTGAGGCTCTTATTATTTTGGTATATACACATAACTGTGGCCCCAGAATCTACATGGCAGCCTCAAGGACATTTGCAGGTGAGTTGGAGCAGGGTGCTATGTGCCTCCGTTGCTGGTGGTGCCCTGATTTCATGTGGTCCTTATTAGTTGCTCAGGTTTTTTGTCTTAACAATGATGGAACACCTCAAGCTGCCAGCAAACTGAGGTGAATTTAGAGTTCTTCAGCAACAGGAGCATCCATGTACTATGTCTATGTAGAAAGGACCACATCTAAGAAGACAGGCTTTTCAGGGACAGGCTGGTTTTCTGGGAAGGGAAACTTGGTAGATGTGGGAACAGCTTCCAGGCTACTCCTGGAATTATTGACTGAAGTATTCACATTAGTTACAGGATTTCAACTCAACATTAAAACCAAAACAACAGAGAAGCAACTAGCAGACAAAAATGGGTTCCCTTAGGGTTAAGCTCAGTGAGGTGATTACAGGGAATCCAGGACCATGGTGAGTGGTTTCCAGCAGAGGATTGCTGAAGACTCCAACCACCAGATCCTGGGTAGGCCTGGGCCTGCTGTGGGTAGGGTGACAAAACTAAATGTCTATGCAGCCCTTATTAAACTAGGCTACTAAACGGTGATGGAGGTTGCCCTAACCAAAATGACATGACTAACAATGGGCCCTTTCCTATCTTTCAGAAACATTTCTGTAGTGAACACATGTCCTGAGTATGCCTTTGTGGCCACATTTCTCATTTCTATGGCAGTTCAAAAATGCCTTTGAAAAACCAAATATTGAACTTTAGTCATTGATGTGTTTACTGAAGTTCCTACAGCAATTTTACCAAGAGGTCTGCAACTTTGAAGTACGCAAAAAATCAGAATGATGGCTGGACAGAAAGACACATGGACATTTATGCAATGAAGCAAGTACCATAAAATATTAGAGGTAGTTTTTGTACACGCATATTCATAGCAATATTATTCACAATAGTCAAGAGATGGAAGCAGCATAAGTCTCCATCAGTGAATGAATGGATCAACAATATGTGGTATATATGTACTATGTTTGCATATCAATCTTTAAAAGGAGGGAAATTCTGACATGATGATGGATAAACCTTGAGGATGTTAAGTGAAATAAATCAGTCATGAAAGATAAATACTGTATGATTTCATTTATATGGTACATCTAGGGTAATCAAATGCATAAAAATAAAGTAGAATGGTAGTAGCCAGGGGCAAGGGTGTGGCAGAGGAACCTGGGAGTTGACTGTAGTGTTTCATTTTTGCAAGATAAAAAAGTTGTAGAGAGTTCATCCATCGTCCTTCCTCCCTCGGTGAGCCTTCTGGGTCCTGCAGTGTGGCAGAGCCTGCAGAAACCAGAGCCTGGATCTGCGAGTTTCTGGAAACCTTCAGGGACACTTCAAATCGACAGAGTAGAAACTATCCTGCCTCAGATCCAGACGGCCAGATGGGAAGACACACAAACAAAATGAAAAAACAAGGGAATAAAGTGCTCCAAACAAACCAAGCTGCTCCCATAAGAGAATCCATCGAAGAAATGTCAGAGAAGGAGTTCAGGATGTATTTAGTAAAACTGTTCTACGACTTAAAGAATTGTATAAGAGAGCAGCTACAGGAGTTAAGCAGTAAAATAACAGATTCGCTTCAGGAGATGAAAGATCACTTCTGTAAAGATATATTAGAGGTCCTGAAAAGAAATAAAGAAGAAATCCTTGAAGTGAAGGAATCACTAAACCAACTTAAAAGTTCAATGGAAAGTATCACCAACAGACAAGACCATTTGGAAGACAGAACCTCAGGCAATGAAGACAAAATATATAATCTTGAAACTAAAGTTGACCCCACAGAGAAGATGATAAATTGCGTGACATTCCCTCACCCAGACACCATGCCTGAACAGCAACTGCTAAAGCCAACCGAGTGGAGCTACTGTGACTACTTCTGGGCTGATAAGAAGGATCCCCAAGGCAATGGCACAGTGGCTGGGTTCGAACTGCTGCTCCAAAAGCAACCGAAGGGCAAACAAATGCATAAAGAAATGTCTGAATTCGTCCGAGAGAGGATAAAGATTGAAGAAGAATATGCAAAGAACTTGGCTAAGCTCTTTCAGAACTCCTTGGCTGCACAGGAGGAAGGCTCCTTGGGAGAAGCCTGGGCCCAGGTGAAGAAGAGTCTGGCAGATGAAGCAGAGGTTCATCTCAAGTTCTCCGTCAAGCTTCACAGTGAGGTAGAGAAGCCCCTAATGAACTTTCGTGAGAACTTCAAGAAAGACATGAAAAAGTATGACCACCATATCGCTACGTGTCAGTGGAGAAGGCTCAGAAAGCCCTCACAGAGCGGCAGAGAGACCCAGAGATGAAGACACAGCAGCTGGCGATCAAGCTGAGCAACAAGACAGAGGAGGACATCAAGAAGGCACGGAGAAAGTCCATACAGGCTGGTGATGACCTCATCCGTTGTGTGGACCTCTACAACCAGGCCCAGTCCAAGTGGTTTGAAGAGATGGTGACCACCACTTTGGAGCTGGAGCGGCTGGAGGTGGAGAGGGTGGAGAGGATCCGGCAACATCTGTGCCAGCACACACAGCTGCGGCATGAGACAGACATGTTCAACCAAAGCACAGTCGAGCCTGTGGACCAACTGCTTCGGAAAGTGGACCTGGCCAAAGACAGAGAGCTGTGGGTCAGAGAGCACAACACAGGCAACATTCGCCCCGTGGGCATGGAGATCTAGACACGCCTGTGCGGCCCCGGGGGTCCTGCCCAGGAGAGGGGCTGGGGGTCCCGTGGAGAGGGGGTGGTAGCTCCCGCTGGGTGAAGCTGTCCTCCCACCCACTCTCCTGTCCACTGAGGAGAGAGGAGAGAGCTGGCAATTCCAGAAAGGGTGATCTGGATGGCTCAGCTGGGGAATCCCAAATATTCCCAGGCCAAGAAGACAGACCTGCAACCCTGCCCTTGTCTCCAAGTCTGAAGCCCCCCCAAACCCCGTGCCATGCTCGTTGCTCTGAGAACAAACTGAGGCTGGAACTTTGTGGTCCCTGCTGAGTTCCATAGGGGTGGCCATCAAACACTTGTGCCCTTGGATGCCCCAA